GCTTGTCCTTCGCTAACCGCGAAGAAAAAAAGAAAGAGAAAAGGAAGAGAAAAGAAAATTGAAGTGAGTCAAGTAATTCCTCGGCCGAGCGTAAAGGACGCGGGAGGATTCAAGGATCGAAAATATATACGTGTGTATATTTTTTTATTTCCCGCTAATTTCCTGCTATTATAGCGAGTTATCGGCAATTCACTTGTACGACAAGGCTTAACTGTAAATCCCGATTTCCTGAAACGTGCGCCGCAGTGCGACTGAGAGGCCTCACCTCGTCGAGGACTTCGGTGATCGCTTTTAATTCGAGGACACGCTTCGTTTCGCCTGTACAGTTACTCGAGCCGAACGTCGCTTTAATTAAGAAAATTCCTTGGGCGCAATCGCACCGCGTAATCCATATCGCGATTCGCGATTGTAATTTCCAAGTCAATTACGCGAGACATCGAGTTTCGCCGAACACCGGATCTGAACAGCCGGCCCTCGATGACGTGTCGTTTTAAATTCTCGCACGCGAGTCTACACGGCTAACGTGATCATTTTCCTTCTCTTTTTTTTCTCCTTTTACACGAGCGTTAAGTTTACGTTACATTTGGAGGGAGATGCGCGTTCGTGTTGTGCAGCAAAAAACCGTTACCGCGCGTGTAATCGCCAATTCTCGCCGCGTATTCTATCGACAGGCTCGACGTTATCTGCGAGCATGGCATCAATCTTCCCGGCGATATCAATCAATGCCATCGATGATAATCGAGTAATATACTACCTTTAACGGGGCAGCCTCGAAGTCGTCAAACCATCCCGGTGCGGCCCGCTGCAACGATACCGACCGATGTCCGATCACAATTAAATTATCGACCTGCCATAATCGTTTATCCGAACCGGCGAATTTCGTGTCCCTCGTCATTTTCGCGGCCGACAAGAACCGTTAAATCCCCGACCTCTGTAGAGGCAGAAGAAGATGCAGCGGGAGGAGAAGAAGAAGAGAAAGAAGATGTGCAATAACTGTCGATAATTGCAGCAAGGTTAATACGCGGCCCGTGCGCTGCTTCTCTGCATCTCTCTTTCCTCCTTCGAGCCCTTCCGAAGGCCGCGATAAAGATATTCTCTGGATCGCGCGTTTCGGAAGAAATCTCTACATGATCTCTCGCTCGCTACGGGAACTCCGGCGTTTCCTCGTTCTTGTGTCACCAGTACGGCGGATCGTCGGTGTATCTTCAAGTTTGCAACGGACGTGCCCAGCGAGTCGTAATGTAATACGGGTCGTTAGCGCGGCGATTTTCCGGGATACGCGCGATAAAGTCCCTTATAAATGATCGGAGATGCGGAGATGTAAATCAAAGCCGCTTAGCGGCCACTGTGAATACGCGCGTTCCTGTGTGAGCGTAACGCATCGTACCAGTTGAGGTGTAAGTTAACTCTCTCTCTCTCTCTCTCTCTCTCTCTCTCTCTCTCTCTCTCTCTCTCTCTCTCTCTCTCTCTCTCTCTCTCTGTGCGCTCTATCTAGAGGTATAATAACTTACGCGGAATGGAAGGATAAAATGCGGAGTCGTCGTAGCGTAACCGGCGAGGACAAGCGCGAAGAACCTTAAGTCTGATATACTTAATCGCCGAGGATCTCCGATGGCGATGCTAGTGGATTGCGATTATCGGCTATTGTTGTCCCGATACGTCGCTTTTGACCGTGTGGACGTAATCGAGAAAGAGAGAGAGAGAGAGAGAGAGAGAGAGAGAGAGAGAAAAAGAAACAAAGAAAAAGAGATCTTAAGCGGATCGGAGGCTAATCGGAAACTCGTTCTCTCGCCAACAATATTATCTCATTGACGAGATCTTAAGAGATTGTAACACCGCGCGAGAACGACCAACTGCAACTGCGACATCTTCCCCTTCGAAGCAACACTTTGTTTGGATGTGTCTCATTTCGCAAATTTTTCTCCACGTCCCTTCCACGGACGAGCCACTAAATCTTATCGCTGTTCCATTAAACCATTCCAATTAGATCACGAACGCGAACGCGATATCGTCTTCGGCTTCGAAATTAAATCGAGCCGACGTTTTGACAATATAAATATCAGCGCTTACTGCGCGGAAAAAGAAAAACACGAAGAAGGGGGCGGACGAAGTAGAAGAAGAACAGAAGAAGGAGAAACAAGCGGAACAACAAGAGCGCTAATTATCCCATTAATCCAGATTATAATCGCATCATTAAGAAACGGCGTTTCGGTGCGACCTTGCGACGCAATGCTTGCGACGGCGACTAAACGGACATCTTTCCAGATGCATTCAAAATCGCGGGAGATCCTCACGACTTTGCTCTGCCTCTTCTGGACGCGACAACGACGCGGCCAGCGGAGACGGGATGAGAAGGAAGGCCGGTTAATTCAGCGACGTCGATTTTTGCCAGCCGCGATATCCGTCGACGGTGGGTTAATTACACGACAAACCGCGAGATACGCCGGAGCGCGTTGTCCTTGGGAAAGGCGTCCGAGGCTATCGCGAGGTCTCGCCTCGTTCCTCCGAGTGGTAACGGCGGCTGTTGCTGCTGCTGCTGCTGCTGCGCCAGCTAAACGGCAGCACCAGCAAGAGCAGCAGCAGCAGGTGGTAGACCCGTCTGAATCGGTTTATAAATAAGTCGTGTTACCCCTTAACAGCCCGTCATTACTTGCGCGCATCTTCGGAACGCCTTGGCATTTATATCCGCGGCTTAGGATATCCGTTTGCACGTCGATAGCGAACACCGAGCGAGAACGGCGAACCTTCGTCGTGAGCCTTCGTCATACGCGCCCTTCGCGATACGCGCCGTGTAACAAAATGTTTGCGATATTTCACAACGCGACGTGCAGTCCCGTGTAACGTAAATTATACTCACTGGGGCGATCAACCGAGCGAGGGTTGAACGCGAGCAGCGCGGCCCGGCGGATTGGAAACATGGCTGGGAAGTTCGCACGGTTTAGAAAACCAGCACGGTCGTTCGCGCGAAGTCGCGATGTAACAGACCCTGAGGAATGCAGGGAGGAGGAATGATACACGAGCGAATTCCGAAAGTACCGGAGGAGCCGACTTCGGAAGCGCTCTCGCGACTGCTTAAATTGGAATCTCGTGAGCGAACATTTGAATCGAACATTCGCAAGGGGAAAACGTGCGCGACCCTTAATGAAACGCAATCAGGCCCTACCGGCGTTCTCTCGCGATCGTGTCTCGCATTCGCTAACGCCGACGTTTACGATGCGAAAGGAATCGCGTGTTCCTTTCTTGCGGGCGACAGCGGGCGATCGAGAGCAACAGCCACGTGGAAGAATCGCGATTAGCATTCGGCGGACGAGCGACATGTGAACGAGGTCTGCAGTATCTACGCGTCGTGAAATGTTTCATTCAAATGCGGGAAACCTGCTTCACCCGAGACGTACCGTAACAACCCCGCGCGCGATGTGGGTTATTACTCTTCATCTTGGAATTTCTCGGAGTGAAGAGTCTCATCTGAGAAGTAGAATGGTCGACCGCCAAGTTATTCGGATCTGAGTGATTTGTAACTCGTACAGAGCAAATGTACTTACGATTTAGAGCGACGGTATTTTCGTTATTGCTTTGAGCAAAAATACTGTCACTTTTCACACGTTTTGAAATTGAACTCTACACTGAGAAAAAATTGCATTAAAATTAAACAAATATTTGTTCGAATACGACTGTGAATACAGTTATTTAAATTAAGCAATTATTTTCTAAAATTCAAGAAAAAAGTTTACATTCAGAGAGAGAGAGAACCTCTGTATTTCATTTTAGAAATTAGTCGCGTAATTTGAATAAATGTATTCACTCACAGTCGTATTCGAACAAACATTTGTTTAATTTGAATATAATTTGTTTTCAGTGTAAGAAATTCAGAGAGTACACAGCGCAAGTCTCAAGCTGCTGAAATAACGTTACCTACAACATCCATGGAAATACGCGCTAAAAAGCCACTGTGCGAACTCATGAAAACGATCTTGCAAATATGAGCGACATTAACATTGAACTTGCGGTTCGATTATGTCGTTGTAACTTATTTAACTCACACGATTCGGTCAGGGGCGAACTTCAGGAGGACGCAATCGGATGTTATACATCATTGTTCCGCGCAATTCCTGTTTCTTCTCTTCGCCTAAGAATAAAAGGATTGTAAAACGAGATTTCGATCGAGTCTATTCGTTTCAAGTTCTCGACACGAGTCGCGCTTCCCTGTTTCTCCCTTCCTTGTCTATTTCTCTCCCTTTTGCTCTTTCCCTCTTTCTCTTTCTTTTCACTTCTCGTCAACACACACTCGAGCGCACATGCATCTCTCTCCTCAAGATTTACTATTTCTCCTTTCGGCGACTGTGTACACGCCTATGGTAGATCGTGCACGTTGCAATTCGTTACAGGGTTCATGTCCCCCGTATCATCCAATGTGTTTGTGGCGATGCATCGAATGCACTCCGGATGCATCCCATGGTGAGAAATCGCGCAGTGGCGCGAGAACAAAAGACTCGTGCGAAAAGAAATTTTCGATGCAGATCTCGACGTTTCGACCCTTCTAGAGGAAGGTTTTCTGTTATTCCTTCTTGAAAATGATAAGAAGTAGATCATAAGATCTATAATTGATCTATTTCTTATCTATCTTCGATTAGATGCAAAAACATCGTATTGACATTAATTGCGAGTGCACATTGACATTCGTTTGTGTGAAATACTATGTATATAATTTATCATTTGTATATTAGTTTTTTGTATGAGTGATTTTCACTCAACGAAGAAATTTATAATCGACGACGAATGTTAGGGCTACGCATCGTCGCCCATGGTTATGCATGCTGCGAATGCTTATGTTTCTGATGCGGATGCAGATCTCGGTTTCACGAGTGAGCCTTCGCTGCTTGTAGGTTTCATCTCGATAAACAGAGGCAATCGCAAATGCAACGCAATCGATAGCGTCGTAGATAGTTAAAAAGATAAGGAGCACGCTATAGCATTCTCTTCGACGTAGGTCTCAAACGTACCTTGAAACGCTATCTCGTTACCGGACAGGTCATTAAGCTGGTCGTTCATCGAAATTGGCGGGGTCGATGGCCAGGATAGCCCACCAATGTGTGTCAAAAGCGCATTCGACGTCCGACGACTGTAAAAAAGGATAAATATCTCTCTTTCTCGTTAATTCTCTTATTTCTTTAAAAAGACAAATAGATTTCTCATCATAATACTAATTAAATAAAAATGTTATAGTAAGTTCGAGAGTTAATTATATGTTACGTATATGGTTAAAGAGCTCTAATTATTAAAAAAAAACATTTAAAAAATATCGCAACTGTAAATATTGTGTACATCTAATTCTTCTCGCTTAAATTTGATCTAATAATGATATGAAATAGTATTTAACAATTTTGTAATATTTTGTAATGTGTGATCATTATGCTTTCCTTGTTACAGATAAAACTGAATGCCAAAGATGTGGAAAGCAATGTCGATTCTGAGTGTTCTAGTGACGTTGATAATAACGAGACTTGCGACAGCTGGTGAGAACTATTTAAATATTTTCTTGTAGATTTAAAATTATGACTTTATCGAAAAAATTCAAATTTTCTGATATTCGATAAAGTATCGAAAAAATGAATAGCGAATTTATTTATACGAGAAAAAATCAGCAATCTGTAACTCTTCTGCTTCTGTTTCTACATAAAATTATGGAATCTCAAATCAACGGACGGAATAAAAATGGATTACAGCTACCGAACCGACAGCTTTCTTGTACTTCTTTATCGGTGATCTATTCGATCCTTTGAAATCCTTGAATATTGCATGAATTAATAATCAATTCATCACTCATAAGCGGCGAATCGAACTCGATGTTGTCGAAATCATTTGCCTTAACAAGACGATAAACTGCCTGCTTTTGCGGCATGGCCAATTACGGCTCCACGAATGTGGTTGTGCGTAAAATGCGTGCCTCAGGCGATGGATGTTTCTAGAATCTTTGCTCTAACCTGTTCTGATCATGATGTTGTTATCGACGTTGTCGTTGCTTGCTGTCAAACTGGTTTCATTCGCGGTACATAGCCTTGAATACAGAGAATAGAGCAATACTAATGAAGACCATTGCATACTTTTCATACTTCGCGATCAATTGGAACGATGTCGTTTAGTCGACTGAAGATGAAAGTAAATTCGAATGCTAATTCGAGCTATATTGCTTGCAGACTATTACGACTATTACGACTATGGCCAAGGCCAATACAGACAGAGCACTGCCCCGTTCCAATGCACGAAGGAAGGTTATCATCCCGATCCGCGTGACTGCAGAATTTATTACAGATGCGTGGACTGGGGCAACGGTAGCCCGTTGACATCCTTTAGGTTCGAGTGCGGCGTAGGTACTGTATTTTCGAAGACAAAAGGAGATGTTTGCGTGCATCCGTGGGACAGTGGACGACCAGAATGCGCTGGATCGGAGAATGAAATCGATTCGAACATAAATGGTCCTTCAGTGGTTTCTTCTACAACGATGAGAACGACTACGAAGCGACAAACAACTACAACACAGACTCTGATGACTACACGGACACCTACGACCACGACCCAAATTACTACGACGACAATGAAGACAACAACCAGAAAACCGGAAACGACGAGTCGACCAATCTCAGAACAATTAGAGAGTAATGTTAATTGTCAAGAAGGGCCCACATGTACTCAAGAAGGATTTCTGGCCGATTCTTGTGACTGCAGAAAATTCTACAGATGCGTTGACGGAGGACAAGGAAAGATGTTGAAATATGATTTCACATGCGGCGTAGGAACTGTTTGGGACCCAGAGATTCAAGGGTGTAATCACGCATGGGCTGTTACGAGAAAAAACTGTAAGCAGGGCTTAGAGAACGGCGACAGCAGCGGCGGCGATAATAATGGACAATGGAATGGAGATAATAGTGGACAATGGGACGGAGATACGGGAGATAATGGCGGACAATGGAACGGCGATACTGGAGATAATGGTGGACAATGGAATGGAGATACCGGCGGCCCAGGCCAGCCTGGTCAACCAGGGCAACCAGGAGATCCTAATGGTCAACCCGGGCAACCAGGAGATCCTAATGGTCAACCAGGACAACCTGGAGATCCAAATGGACAGCCTGGAAGTCCAGGAACACCAGGTACGCCAGGCTCACCCGGATATCCGGGAACACCGGGCTCTCCAGGCACTCCTGGAAGTCCAGGAACACCAGGTACTCCAGGTAGTCCAGGCTCACCCGGTTATCCGGGAACACCAGGCTCACCAGGCACTCCTGGAAGTCCAGGGACACCAGGTACTCCAGGTAGTCCAGGCTCACCCGGTTATCCGGGAACACCGGGCTCTCCAGGCACTCCTGGAAGTCCAGGGACACCAGGTACGCCAAGTAGTCCAGGTTCACCCGGTTATCCGGGAACACCGGGCTCACCAGGCACTCCTGGAAGTCCAGGGACTCAAGGTACGCCAGGTAGTTCAGGTTCACCCGGTTATCCGGGAACACCGGGCTCTCCTGGAAGTCCAGGGACACAAGGTCAGCCAGGTAGTCCAGGCTCACCCGGTTATCCGGGAACACCGGGCTCACCAGGCACTCCTGGAAGTTCAGGAACACCAGGTACTCCAGGTAGTCCAGGCTCACCCGGTTATCCGGGAACACCAGGCTCACCGGACACTCCTGGAAGTCCAGGGACACAAGGTCAGCCAGGTAGTCCAGGTTCACCCGGATATCCGGGAACACCGGGCTCACCAGGCACTCCTGGAAGTCCAGGGACACAAGGTCAGCCAGGTAGTCCAGGTTCACCCGGATATCCGGGAACACCGGGCTCTCCAGGCACTCCTGGAAGTCCAGGGACACAAGGTCAGCCAGGTAGTCCAGGCTCATCCGGTTATCCGGGAACACCGGGCTCACCAGGCACTCCTGGAAGTCCAGGGACACAAGGTCAGCCAGGTAGTCCAGGTTCACCCGGATATCCGGGAACACCGGGCTCACCAGGCACTCCTGGAAGTCCAGGGACACAAGGTCAGCCAGGTAGTCCAGGCTCACCCGGATATCCGGGAACACCGGGCTCACCAGGCACTCCTGGAAGTCCAGGGACACAAGGTCAGCCAGGTAGTCCAGGCTCACCCGGATATCCGGGAACACCGGGCTCACCAGGCACTCCTGGAAGTCCAGGGACACAAGGTCAGCCAGGTAGTCCAGGCTCACCCGGTTATCCGGGGACACCGGGCTCACCAGGCACTCCTGGAAGTCCAGGGACACAAGTTCAGCCAGGTAGTCCAGGCTCACCCGGATATCCGGGAACACCGGGCTCTCCAGGCACTCCTGGAAGTCCAGGGACACAAGGTCAGCCAGGTAGTCCAGGCTCACCCGGTTATCCGGGAACACCGAGCTTTCCAGGCACTCCTGGAAGTCCAGGAATACCAGGTACGCCAGGTAGTCCAGGCTCACCCGGTTATCCAGGAACAGCAGGCTCACCGGACACTCCTGGAAGTCCAGGGACGCCAGGTACGCCAGGTAGTTCAGGTTCACCCGGTTATCCAGGGACTCCAGGTACGCCAGGTAGTCCAGGCTCACCCGGTTATCCGGGAGCACCAGGCTCCCCAGGGATTCCTGGAAGCCCAGGGACTCCTGGAAGCCCAGGAACTCCAGGCACGCCAGGTAGTCCAGGCTCGCCCGGTTATCCGGGAACACCGGGTTCCCCAGGCAGTCCTGGAAGTCCAGGGGCACAAGGTACGCCAGATATGTCAGGAACAATCAGCAATCAGCCGGGTACAGGTACGATAACAAATATTTTACGATAAATAAAAATCGAAGGGCCAAGTATCTATTTAAATTCATGTTCTAGGTATTTGTACTAAAGAAGGCTTCTTTGGTGATCCGAAAGATTGCCGCAAGTTTTATCGATGTGTTGGAGACGGCGCTTCATTTACTAAGTATGAATTTCAATGTGGAGTTGGAACTGCTTGGGACTCATCCGTTCAAAGCTGTAACCACGAATATGCTGTACCACGATGCAGTCAGCAAAATAATGTAGTAACGAGCGAACCCGATACATCACAAAATGAAGTAGATAGTACAAATGAACCAGATACGTCTGCGCAACCGCCAGTGCAACCGCCTGCAAGTTCCATCGTCCCACCAGAATCTTCAACATCTTCAAGACCTGCAGCTGTTAGTACTACGAGCAGACCTCAAACATCGAGCCAGATTTCGTCAGTTTCTTATTTGCCGCCATCAAGTACCACAAATCTGCCTTCAACACAAACTGTCTCGTCAGTTTCTTATCTACCTCCCTCGACTCAAACAACCACATCTGTATCTTATTTACCACCTGATACAACTACATCTACGACTATGAGGCCTACAACGAGTGTTACACCAAGCTCAGAGTCATCTACCGTTTCTTCGCCTCAAGGTGGAAAATTTGAATGCCCCGGAGAAGGTTTCTTCCCAAATCCTGACGATTGCCGAAAGTTTTATCGTTGCGTTCAAGGCAACTCTGGATACCAGAAATACGAGTTTCAATGTGGACCGGGAACAGGATGGGATCAATCTGCACAAACGTGTAATCATATCGGGCAAGTATCCTCATGTTCCACGGAGAGCAATGAAATCGATCAAGGCCCCAGACCCAGTACGTCTAGTCCCGTGCCTCAACCTCCTCCTACAAGCAGTTCCACAACAGCTGCTTCTAGTCAGACCACTGCCATCACTTCATCGTCCGCAGTTCCTTCTACGGAAAGCGCTACAATCGCCAGTACTCCGAGCGAAACGTCCACAGCAGAAGCAACTACATCAAGAACCGATAAAACCGAAACTTCGGTAACAACGACAACTGCGATCGCTACTACCAGCAGCAGCAGTGAGACATCTCCCTCAGGAAAACCAGAAGAAATTCAAATGCCTGCGAGCTCTAGTACGGAGAGTTCGTCCGAATCTTCCGAATCCTCAGAACAGTCATCTACTCCCGAATCATCGAGTGAAGGATCATCTTCGTCTACCGAGTCGCACGTGCCTGACTGCACGACGCGAAAGCCAAACGACACGATAGCGTGCAACAACGAAGGCTTCTATCCGCACCCGACCAAGTGCGACAAGTTCTATCGCTGCGTCGACAACGGTAACGGCTTCAACGTGTACCACTTCGACTGTCCACCAGGCACCATCTTCGATCCTAGTATCAACGTGTGCAATTACCCCGAGTCTGTTTATCCTGCGAGAGATTGCACTCCTTCGAGCGGTACTCCAGCAGCGGAATCAACGACACAGCCTGAATCGCCGGAACAATCCACGTCGATGGAGACTACCGTCGCCTCGAGCGTGACAACTCAACAGCCGGAAGAAAGTACAATCGCGTCCACCGAACCCGTTTCCACAACTTCGTCCGAGGAAACCACCACTTTGAAGCCGAGTACGACGACTACCACTTCTAGTACGGAAGTAACGTCGGAGATGCCAGAAAGTACGGAAGGCACAACGGAATCGACAACCGAATTGACCACTGTCGCTACCGAAGGAAGCACCGATTCCAGCAGCTCCGAACAAACCACCGAGGCCACGACCGAGGAAATGTCCACGGCCTCTATGGGATCGACGGAGTCCGAAGTATCCACGACCGAATCCCAAGAGCAGTCCACGACGGAATCCCAAGAGCAATCGACAACGGAATCCCAGGAGCAATCGACGACGGAATCGCAGGAGCAATCGACGACGGAATCGCAGGAGCAATCGACGACGGAATCCCAAGAGCAATCGACAACGGAATCCCAGGAGCAATCAACGACGGAATCGCAGGAGCAGTCGACGACCGAGTCTCAGGAACAATCGACGACGGAATCGGCAACGGAATCAACAACGACCGAGCCTGTAGCTGGAGCAATGCCTTGTCCCATTGGCAATCTAACTGACGACCAGATAACTCTGGTCTGCCCGACCGGCTTCCGAAGGCATCCCAAGTATTGTAATCTCTTCTATCAATGCGTCTCCGAAGGCAACATGGAAATCAAGATTCTCGTGTTGGGCTGTCCCGAGAACACGATCTTTGACGAAAACAAGATTCAGTGCTTACCGGCGAGCAACAGCAGTCAACCGTGTACAGGTAGCCGAGCCAGCGCCAGATTTTACAGGAGATTAGAGGACAATGCATTATCGCCCGTAAGTACTTTCAGTCAGATGAGATATTCGCATTGTAAAAACCAGCTCCACGCGATATAGCATTTTGGTGATTTTTACACGAAATATTTATATTTATCTAAATATTTCTATTTGCGAAATAGAAACATTTATTGTGTATAAACATATCCGCGAATATTTTTATTTTTATACTTGTATGAATATTAATATTTTTATATACCCCTGCGTTTTTATCTACGTTGCCATATCGCGTGAAGCTGACTTTTGATCTCACAAAGAACGATCATGCATTTTTCTTTACTTTTCCTTCTCGTTCACTTTAGATGAAAGTATCGTCAAATGAACTTTGCCCTGGAGAAGGACACTTCCCATACCGGCAAGGTTGCACCAATACCTTCTACAAGTGTAAGCGCGACTCTCGGGACAGTTTGCAAGGATATCTCTACAAGTGTCCCGAGAACTTCGTTTACTGGTCGGTCTCCAGGAGATGCGAGCGTGTGACGCGTCTGCCGATGTGCGCGCACTTGGCGTACAGAGGCAAGACCGATTGGAACGACCGGTGGCAAGTGCCAGTCGAAGATTATAATCTTTCCGCCAGGATGTTGCGCTTGCCTTGAGCTACTCGACAAACACCGCCTCTATCTTTCCGACCTATCTCGCGTTTAACTTTCGTTAGATACAAGCTCGCCATAAGTGTCTGAAGTGACAGTATACACATAAATCCTCAGGTTAATCCTCGCGATTCCCGGTGAAGATTGAAGGACACCGTAAAAACGAAGCGAGATCATATTAATGCAGGCGGTTTAGAATCGTTAAAAATAGACCGTAGGACATTCAGGGAAAAAAAATCAGTAACTTGTCTAAATGTCTAGAATTTTTGATCCGAGCAAGAGATGATTCTGAAGGTCCTCTTTATTCCAGCGCGAAGTTCACATCTCCGCTGGAGCGAGTTTGCTGCCATAATTTCGCGGTACTTCGTGAAACTGCGTAACGACATGGCTGCGGAAGATCTCCACTGAGAAGTTAATAACAGATCTTCAGCAGCCATCTCGTATCAGTCTCGTATCAGTCAAACTGCCATTATGCTATTCTTAGTTAGCGGTATATGTTACGAGTTACGATAACGATCGCACTAACGATTATCAACTTGTACGAGCACATGCGATTTTGTGACTCGAATCGAATCGGAAAAACATATTTTTAACTGAATTGGAACTTGTTTGTTCCCACGAATAATATGCAACTCTGTTCAATCGACCGTTTAGATTGATTTCCTTATCACTTGGGTAAGTGAGAAAATAGAGATAACATATGTGTCGACATATACATAATATTCGTGCGAAATAAGCGAGTTCCAATTTTCGTAAGACTATTATAAGACTATTATCGTTTTGTAATTAGTCGTACATGATATTGGGAATGGTTGCGGGACTAGTATGCAATATTTCGATGTACGCGTAATGACGTTCTCATATTTATTAAGTCGTCGCGAGTTTGTCTTCCGCTGAAGATGTTGACGAGAGAAGCGTATCGTTAGCGAATCTTTCGAATTTCGTCAAGTGGTAATTAGTTTTCTGCAGGATATTCTTAGGATATATTCCATAGAATATTTCTTACGTGCGATATGTAATACGCGCGTTGTACATATCTTGACATGTTCCCTCATGGGAAACCAATGCTTATTCATTGTTTACGTGTCTCGATGCATTTATCGAGATTCGCAGTAGAATTATATAGAATACGCGTACCGTATAAAATAGATTAGTGTAATTAACATTTGTCCATTCGAAATTAACTGTGCCTCTTGTGTGTTTATACCCGATCTCTACGTGAAACGTGTATTAATAAAGAGCGTAAAAAGTTGACGACATATATTTTATATTTCTGTCTTTTCTGATCTGAAATATTCGATCATTTCAAACTGGTGACTCGACTCACCTAACCTTTTTTCCTACCAACCTTACCTTAGTTATCCTCTTCTTCTATTTCTCGCTACAGCTGAGATCTTGCTAGTTCTGTGTCCAGTGTTGATCCAGTCTCTGTTCAGCAATGTTCGATGCCTCCGTACAATTAATTTATGCTTCGTATCAGTTACAAATACGAATTAAATGTTTACCACAAGCAGTTCGATGCGAAAGACTCAATTTTCGAACTAGTGCAGTGTTTCAACGATAATAATCGATATAAACATTCACGTGATATCGATAACTCTTGATGACCGATTAATCGATTTCAGCATCGATTTCATAAAATTGATGTAGATGACATATCGATCAGTCGTTTACAGTGTCGATAAGCAACAATGACCAATCAACTGACTGCTTTTGTAGAAGAGAAAGAAGTTGATTGGTCATCGCGTAATCACTCTCGTGTCTTTTTACAACGTGAGTCGGAGTAGCAAACGCAAGCAAACGAGGGGTGTACAGTTGTCAAAAAATCACGCTGCAGCTGACACAAACCGATAGCTGAGCATTACTTATCGCGACAAAAAAAAACGATAAAAATCTAAAGAAAGTTAAAAGCACGAGAGAGGTCTCGTCGTGGTTACAGCATGTTTCGCTCGACGAATTTTGAAAAATTATTGGGTAAGTTTCCTAGTGCTTTTGAGATCCTTTCAAAATGTCGGATCTGCCCAAGTCGTCATTAATCGTTTGCAGATAAGGCAACAAGTCATTTGCAGTTGGAGCCAGACTGGCCCACGATTTTGCAAATTTGTGATCTTATACGTCAGAGTGATGTTCAGTAAGCATTAAAATACTTTAGCATTAATATACTTAAAAAATAATATGTGTTTTTCCTACTCATTGTTAATGCAACATTGTCAATTATATTCCGGACTTGCCTCAGGAGGAAATATCAAATATGTAATTATCGCTATTTGTTTTATCTAGGCCAAAGGTTGCACTTGCTGCTATAAAGAAGAAAATCACAAATACTAATCCACATGTGGCATTATATGCATTATTAGTAAGATATTTAAAATTAGTTGGAAAGGGACTTTTGTATCGATAAGTTTTATGTTTATTAACATCGTATTTATTAATTCAGGTATTAGAATCTTGTGTAAAAAATTGTGGAACATTGATTCATGATGAAATTGCTACTAAGCAGTATATGGAACAACTGAAAGATTTAGTCAAGACTTCTCAGCATGAAAATGTCAGACAAAAGACTTTAGAGTTAATTCAAGCTTGGGCTCATGCATTTCGCAATAGTCCAAAGTATAGGGCAGTACAGGTAAAACAGATAATTTGTTCATATTATAATATTAAAAATATAAAGATTATACTATCTAGTTAATTTTATTCTTATGTGCTTCTATATTTTCTTTGTGCTATTCCTTTTTTAGGATACGTTGAATATAATGAAAACTGAGGGATATCAATTTCCCGTTTTAAAAGAAAGTGACGCCATGTTCAGAGCTGATACTGCACCTGCATGGGCAGATGGCGAAGTGTGCCATAGATGCCGTGTAACCTTTGGTGTAATGCAACGAAAACATCACTGCAGAGCTTGTGGCCAAGTATTCTGCAGTCAATGTTCAAATAAACTCTCTACCCTGCCCAAATTTGGAATTGAGAAGGAAGTTCGAGTTTGTGAAGCTTGTTATGAAAAAGTTAACAAGTTAGTATAATTTTACATTGCATACCATGCTGTTTTATTCAAATATTTTTAAAATATGATTTTTCAGGCCATCTACAGTGCAAACCAAAGATACTGATCTTCCAGCTGAATATATTAACAGCACTTTGGCTCAACAACAACAAGTATGCATTTATATTTTATCGAATAATTCATAGTATATAACACAATAATACAAAAGACATCATAAGTAACTAATCAGAAATAACTTTTAATCAAATCATATGCTAATTTTCTTAATTGAGTTATCTCAGACTTGTGCTATATATCCAATGCTGAGACTATAATTTAATAAATAATTAAATTAGTAGTTAAACATGGCTTCTTCAGTAGAGCAGGTATTCTTGTTTATTATTTAAAATAATTATATGTAGAACTATAATTATGAATAGAGAGCTATAATTTATACTATGGAAAATATATTACACAATTCAACTCATGATAGATTTAATTTTACATACACATTACATAATATATATTATCACATCATAATAATTATTGTATTTAAAGGAAAGGAGCTCGTGTGAAAAACAACTTAAATTCTGATATAACTTGGCACAATAAGATCACAAACTTTATATGTTGTTAACCTTCTATACAGCACTCCATATCCTTGTAGGTTCCACCTCGGAAGACAGAGGAAGAACTGCGAGAGGAAGAAGAATTGAACCTAGCAATAGCTTTGAGTCAAAGTGAAGCTGAACAGAAGGAGAAAGAAAAGAAACGGGCTACAAGTGCTTTAAAATCCAATTCTACCCCCATATCAAGAATCACATATTCGCCGCCCCCATCTCCTGTGAGTTCTTTATAATTTTTATTAATAAAATTTTATTAATAATTTTATTAATAGATTTTATTGATAAAATTTATTAATAAATGTACGAATGATTGATCTGCAAAAAAATATTATTGTTTATGTATTGAGTTATTGAAATTTTTTTATTTATATGATATTAAATACAATGAAAATTATTATAATGAACTTTTCATTAGGGTCCAAGTCCTTCACGGACGCAGGAAGAGGATGAGATCGATCCCGAACTTGCGAAATATTTGAATCGCAAATATTGGGAACAGAGACAGACTGTAATCGAAGAGCACGGATCAAGAGCGGATGTGACCAGTCCGTCTGCACCCAACATAAGCAGTCCGATGCCCCAAAAAGTCGTACTTATGAAACAAGAAAATGGCGAAGTTGATAATCAAATGGAAGAATTCGTGAGCGGCTTGAGGTCTCAGGTCGAAATTTTTGTGAACCGGATGAAGAGCAATTCCTCAAGAGGAAGATCAATCGCTAACGATAGCTCGGTTCAAACCCTTTTCATGAATATAACAGCTATGCATTCCAGGTATTGACTTGTAATATAAAATAAACTTTCTAGTATTATTTCCAATATTTCATATAATATTTGTGATTTCAATAACAAAATATCATCTTTTTATAGATTACTAAGATACATTCAAGAACAAGATGATAGTAGAGTGTATTACGAAGGTTTGCAAGATAAATTAACACAGATGAAAGATGCTAGAGCCGCTTTAGATGCTCTTCGAGAGGAACATAAGGAGAAATTACGCAGAAGAGCCGAGGAAGCTGAAAGACAACGACAGATGTTAATGGCGCAAAAATTGGCGATCATGCGGAAGAAAAAGCAAGAATACTTGCAGTATCAACGGCAATTGGCTCTTCAGAAAATCCAGGAGCAAGAGAGAGAAATGCAAATGCGTCAAGAACAACAGAAACAGCAGTACATAATAAGTAATTAATTAATTTCTCATTGTATTTTTCTTTGAGTTTTTTATCTTTATTTTATATTCGTTTTGTTTTTTTGTTTTATAGCTGGTTATCAAGCGGTGTCTGGCTTTATGGGGCCTTCTCAAGGTTCACCGGTCCGTCATGTTCAATATCCAACTCCTGGAGCCAATTATAATCCTATGTCGCCGACAAATCAAGGAGTCTATATGTATGGACAACCACCAATGGGTCAGTATCCTATGCAAAGTTACAACATGCCGCCAATGAATGTGCCGGTACACATGATGTCGCAAATTCCTAATCCGGAGCAACAACCATCGGATCCGTCCATGCAAGGACAAGAGAATATCGGTCGAGTGTCTATATCAGGCCCAGGAATGGTATGTTCATGCGTAACATTATTTTACCGTTCTCTTATGATTGGAAGATCAAATTTCGCGAAACATTACACAGTGTCATCTAATATGTTATTTTTTCAGATGCCTCAAATGACACCACCTATTCAACAACTTCAGCCACCAAACAATCATCAGATATCTGGGCCCCAGCAACAGGGTCCTCCGGTACACGTGCCAACAGGACAAGCTTCAACTGGCAGGCATATGCCGCCTCAGCAAGCTGCCTCGTCTCAAATGCCGCAGCAAGCTCCTCCGACTCAAATCGGCTTACCCCCGGCATCTCAAGGTCACATGGGCTCCTCGTCAGCAGGTCCAGTAGTTCCAGGAGGACATATGCCTACTGGACCCATGGTTGGTCTTCCGCCGCAAATCGGATCGCAACAACCGTCCACCTTGCCTGGTACTCAAGGATCTTCGATGCCAGCACATGTCTATAATGCCGCTATCTCGTCTCAAACTACAGGCGTTATGCAAGCGCCTGCTGGTACCGGGAACGGTCCCGCACCTGTGACGAGTCAAGCTCTAGCTGGTCCTCAAGTGTCTAGTGTGCCGACAATGCAACAAGGAATGCCTCAGAACCCAGTAGCGGCGCAGTCGGTACCGTTTCAACCGGTCCCTCCAGCCCCAGCTCCTGCAGCTAACGAAGCTCCGCAAGACGAGGAAGATACAAAGCCTAGAACAGCTGAACTGATCTCTTTCGATTGAATAAATTCAACATTTTGGCAGAATATCATATGCATTTAAGGGGTTAGATCACTTGGTTCTTCATGCTTTGTAGTTTGACGTTGATTTCGAAGCAGTGCATTTTTACGTAATTTTTTATATAAAAGAGTTGTTAAATGTTACGATTCTTTGATACATTATAATATATAAATAAATCTATACGAAAATAGCTATTTTGTCATGATCGCACATGAACAATTAAATAGTTATACTCCAATATTTTCAATTTTAAAGCGTATTTTTTTTTTTTCTTGAATACTCTAATAGTTTTAATTATCTTCTAAGGAGGAAAATATCACAAATTTTATTTATTTTCTATACTGATCGAACCCCTTAAGTTAATATTTCATTCTTCTTTCTAAATTAGAACATTGATATTGCAAGAATAAGATTAAGAAATAACTGGTTAATAACTTAATTTATTGGATGAAATATTACCTTTGACTGCAAAATCATAATTTTATATCCCTTTATTGATTATAGTACAATGCTAAAAACATATTTCTATAAAATATATACGAGAAACGAATAAAATATAGATTTCACTTAGCAGGATATATATATATATATATATATATGTAACAATACAGAATGTTTAAGCTCATGCTATGTATGTTAGTTTTATATATAATACTCTGTGCAATTTATGATGCCAAAATAAAACTGTTTTTTGCACTGTACTAATTTTTTATCATAGAAAAAGATGTTTATACAATAGCATTATATATATATATATATATATTATAAATTTTATATATATATATATCTATACATATATAATTTACCTTTATTCTTTAATTATTTTATTTTAAATGTATGCATGAAATAATCAATATTACTTAGAGATCGTAATTTCCTTTATTTTTTAAATTATAGAAAAACTATAACCAACAGGGATATATATACATGAATTAATTACAAGATCGTTACACGATTTTTGTTTACCGCTATAGCAATGTATTTATATTCTTAATCGGCAGCCCGTATGAAAACGCTTTATAGTTAAGTAGAGAATGTGCGATACTTACGAGGCAGCCTTAATAGGTATCGTAACATAAAAAAGTTTAGCTCAATAAAATTATCCAATATTTTCCTTCTCTTATGTTTTCCAAGATTTGTCATAAGAGTTTTGTGTCCAGAAATATAAATTTGTCTAACACACTCGCTACTACTCACGTTTGACAAAAATATCGTAAAAATTAAGATTTTACTAGTTACAAGATAAAACATCCGCATTTATACATACTAATATTTTTTTCTTTTTATACTAAATTAATCAAGTGAATTATTTTCGCTAACTCGAAAGATTGCACATATATTTTTTCAATCATTTTCTAATTTCCAAAAAAGACAAAAATATACATATACGCTTACAATCCGCGATATTAGTTTGCCCGGTTAATTTTACGGTCGCGATCACACGGTTTCCACTTGACCTTTCCTACGTGGCTTCGGCTCTTGCCCTTGTGGAGACGTAAAGGATGTTTCTTCGGAGTGTTTTTTGATCACAGACGAAGAATCAATGTTAGTCGAACAGCTCTGACTGTCTCTTCTCTCGGGTCGCGGCATGTTGAGCCCGTTGGACGTCAGAGATGCCTTCCGAATTCGCATGTCCTCCAGAGGAATCTCCTCACTCCGCGGCCTTGGCATCTTGGGCGAGCCGTCTCTAGATCGCAAACCGTTCTCATGAGCCTTCTCATTCGAACTGGCATCATCGCGTTTCGAACTCGACGATGCCATTGGCCTAGTATTTTCCCTACGCATTTGTGCCGCGAATCCAGGAACTTTGTTTACCGTGAACATCGGCCTCGGCTGGTCCTTCTGTTTCTGAGCCCGCCCGAGCGTACCTGGAAAAATCAAAGCGATCGTCAAGGCGAGGATTCCGCCGATTATAGTTCACTCGAACTTACGTTCGTGCCGTAAGCCGCGCAACGCGTAATTAGGCGGTGTCGAGCAATGAGGTACGCTCGTCGGAATGTCCAGCAATCTGGCGATCTGATTCATCTTCTTCTGTCTCGCTTTGATTCGTCCCTTCGTCAGCCTGAATCATTCGACGATCTGATTAATCCCAGCCGGCAAATAAACACGGAATTTCGCTGAAACTCTCGTTGGACTCACCTCTGTTTGGCGGCCATGCATCGAATGTGGTCGTCAAAAACGAATTTAGCCGACAGCAACGGTATGCGATTGCCGGTGCTGCTGCTTAACGGTTTGTAAATTGTCAGATGCAAACACCTCGAGTCGTCTTTGTCGCCGGCTACATCGATGTCCTGCAGGAAGCCGACTAACTTCGCGACGCCCCATCCGAGTTTGCTGGTGTCCGGTTCTACGATAATCAGCTGTACAACATCGATGACCAGAAAACGTCGGATCTTCTGACCATCCTTCCACACAACGGTGCACGCGATCAAGTCGCTGTTATCTGCAAAGGAAGTCAATGAGAATACCAAATCTACAACTATAACGTTATATAACTACGTTATATATTTGTTATATAACTATATTATTGACGTTCATGAAACGAGAACTAGAAAAGCAAATTTATATTTGAGCGATGGACTATAATATAATGTGAAACAAACAAATTTTACTTAGATCAAGAACGTTGTTAACTTGTACGCAGTTCGCTGGGTTGGTTAGTGGCAATTGCGTCTCTGTTTCCGTATTCAGTATCAAAGATAGCTCCCTGATCAGGAAGAATACCCGTATCGCACGTCGCGCTCTCTCCACCTATGAGATTATTTGTGTTTTCATCTTCTTGTCTCAGCATTACTCGGCGACGTTGCATCTTCTCCTTGCGTACCTACCTCGCCGCATGGCAGTCTTTTGGTAAATTCGATCCCGGTCATCGGCGTGCCTGTCGGAGGCAGCAAGATATTGCTGTCCATCATCAACCACTCCACGTTCAGCGGCCGCTTCTTGATCTCGCTGTATTCATCCTCGAACATGTCCAAAAATATATCCTCGCTCTGTGAAACGAAATCGATGTCTTTATCGGAGTCTATATTCGGGACTCTCGCCCATGAAAGTGTACGTCAGGACGTGGGGATTATAAGACTTCACGGATGAATCATATATACTTTGTAAAAATTCTTGAGCAAAGACGTGCTCTGTTCCCTTGCGGCTTCGATGGCCGCCACATGCGAGTCCCGTAGCAAGCATTGCCCCTCGGACACCATCAGTTGCGTCAATAGCTTGATGGTCAATTCCAATGTGACGAGCCGCACTTTGGAATCTGACGGAGCAATCGATACTCGTAGTGAATACATAGCAGACCCGATGTAGTAAGGAGAATATATCGATGTAACTTACTCGTCTGACAGCTCAGTGTTATGATGTGAATCAGTCTGTCCATGAGCAATTCGTTGTACGAATTTTTCATAGACGCGCTGTCGAACGGCGACAGGATCACGTCCAGAATTTGGCGATTTATGCCCTTTGTAAATGCGCAAATCGGATCACTATATGTTGAAACTGCACGGCAAAACGGCTTCTATTGTGAGTTCATAATAGTTACCTGATTGTTAGCTAATGCATAAAGCAGGCAGAGCGTGAACAACGCCGCGTAATCGTTCTCCGCGCACAGCAACGAGCTGACGATCGTTTCCAGAAACGGCTTCTTCGCTAGCGACTCGAATATGTCGTTCTGAGTGGGATGCGGCGTCAACGGGCTCTCCAGCGCCAAGCGTTGCTGTTTCTCTTCGTCTGTCACATTCAAATGCTTAATTTCTTCGAAATCCTCTTCACTCGGGACGCTCGTATCCAGTGGTGTACGCATACGAGCGGAGGTATTTACTAAATCGAAAGACGTACTCGGATGCTCGGACTCCCGCGACTCGTCTGCGCTTACAGCGATCTCTTTCGCGTTTCTCGCATCGCTCTCCACGTGGCGATGCTCCTCGGACGTCGATGACGTTTCGCTCAGGATTTCCGCAGATTTCTCTAGTGTTTCCCTCGATGGGGAAGAAGCGACAGGCTTAGTCGACGACATTGCATCCCCGAATTTTTTCAAGATTCGAGCTGTCCGGACGTGAATCGCGCTCGAACGATCGGATTCCCGCTCATCCGACTCGTCGCACATGTCTGAGTTCACAGCGAACTCTCTCGTGTTTTTTATATCGCTCTCCTCAGACGTTGACAATGTCTCAGTCAAGGTCTCCGAAGATTTTCCCAACGTTTCTCCCGACAGAAAAAAGGCGACGAACTTATTCGACGTAGAATCGCCGAACTTCTCCAGCACTTTAGACGTCCCGGTTTGAATAGTGTCTAAATCGGACATGAGCATTACAGCCGCTAACGTATGTACAAGGGGTCCATGCGACACTATCAAGAAAACTTGAGAGAGTAAAAAAAGCGCTACCACGACACTGACGTGTTTCCTCTCGTCCTAAAACATTCAGACGATTATCGTTATGCGGTGATCGAAGGAAGTGGAAATATTTCATTTTTACCTGAGTTTGGCACAAAACGTTCTTCTGTCTCATCAAAGAATAAACGTACAATGGGACCAGTAACTTGTGTAACAGGTGTTCGGATAAAACTTTGTTCAAATCTGATATATTCAAGCACAGAATGTCGTTCAAATAATGCAGATGATCCAAATGTTCCGCGACTAAATCTGAGAGCCTATTTTGACTTTGGTGGCTAAAAGGAAACATGCTTTATTAGCAAGAGAAAGAGAAACAATATTCGAGCCTTCAGTAGAAGTTAATGGAACTTACTCGGCGTCGTTCCGGACGCAAGTGTCCAGCTCGATGATGTGATCACCGATGAACCATACAAGATTGCTGAAGTACGGTGCGGCTGTACGATCCCTTATGAAAGCCAACATAGATGCGTCCTCAACGCGATATACATTCAGCGTCAGTGTTCTCACAGCTATGCGCACCATACCCTCCGAATGATTGAAAAATTTTATCGCTTCTGTATACAGTGGAAAATCGTTGGTATGCTGACAACAAAATAAACAGATTGATCTGTTTTATCAATAATGCCGGATCAGTAGGTGCTTCTGTGTGTGTACATGTTGAAATTATGATAAGCTAAAATATATTCCTAATAGTTATTGTAAAAAAAAAAAAAATCAACAAGTACAACTAAAAAGACACAAAAAACAATTACGTGTACCTCGTTTACCTCGTTATAGAAGAAATGGATGGTATGGCCGTTCAATTTCAAACTCAGTGTCTTCAGAAAACTGATATAATATGCCATCACTTCCTCATCACTGAAGTCAAATTTATGTACTATTATACTATTCACATGATTGTTACTTAACAGATAATCTGTGAATAAAAATTTGTAACAAATTTTAATTATTAGCTGCTTGATATAGAATAAATAACTTCAACAAACTTACACAAAGATGTCTCATTGCGTATATTTTCAAATAAAATATTCAATGTTTGTAATAGTTGAACGCACACATAGCTTCCACATTTTTGCTTCATAATACGTAAGAAGAAAGAAAGCATGTTTTTCTCAAGGAAAAAACTGCAAACATATGATTCTTTTTATTAAAAATAATTATAATTTTCATATTAATGTTTTATCTAGCTAAAGAGATTGTTTTCGAGATATTGTATATTGTACAGACTATTCTATATCAATATTTTAATAAATATGAGTTATGTATATTATAAATTACAGAAAATAAGTTATGAAAAACCTCATAATCATCATGTTTTTAATTATACAGCATATTGTAGAAATCAGTCTTTGAAATCTAGAGTAACTTTATCTATCAATAAAATGGTAAAAGTAACATTGATAAATTTTTTTTTACTCACTCAAAAACACCACTGTCATTTTGATCACCCCATATAAGAATTTCAGCTATCGAACGCAGAGTTTCAACCAACAAACCTCTGTTATTCTCAGACACAGTTTGATTCTTTGACAGGACATTGTACAAATATCTGAATACAAGAAACATGGGGATATATATATATATATATGTATATCCTTGATATTTAAATTTCAATTGATGACAAAAGCAATATACTTATCGAAGAGGTCTCTACGTACTTAAGATGTTCCAAAGAATGTGGATTCTTCGGCTTCCAAAGCCCACCGCCGAACCAGCTGCGACTACGAAACATTTTGATCTGTTTCGAATGCGAACAGATGTGCTTGCATTCGCAATCTTGTCCAAATCCTCCGCTTCTTTTCTCGCTATGCGACGATTGCAGAGGTATACCGTTTCATTATGCTCGCATCCATCGTGCGATCCGCCAACGATGTACGTGTATGTATATATATATATATATATGTTACAACAAAAATCCTGAATACGATGAAACTTATACTATATCGTTTGCATTTTGGTTCAAATTAGAATTTTAATTAATCGCGCGAACGACTTTTATAACTTGATTATATATACATGTGTACGTTAACCATACGTTGACACTACATATCACGATATCACATTAATTTTACTATTTTTGTTAAATCGTTCAGAGTCGTTAAATTTTATGCGACGCAGAAAGAAATCCAACCCGATTGAGCCTCCATTTCGACTGATTGTGAATGATTATGACTGACGGACTATGAACATTCGTTATGTTCATGTTAGGTTAGTGCAAAATCGTCTATCTTCGTCTTATCATCGATACTTGATATCGATCGATGAATCGATATTCGATTCTCTCTTTCTTGAAAAGTCGATTATCTTCTCGATATTTTTAAATTCAATTAGTCTCTATGGACAGTTCGTTATCAAATTTTGATTGGCTGTCCAGTAACGCATCATGTGTATGCGCCAGATGGAGCACTATTATATAGTTCATTTTTAATAGTGAATTATATTCGAATATACCGGTTTGGCGCGAATGAATTGTGATCCTACCTACTTGACGTGCTTCTGTTTGCATCTAAAAAGTCATAGCAAGTGTCCGTGTGAGTGTTTTTGAATATTTACAAATACTTCAAATTCTTTCAATATTTTCAAGAGATTTGAATCATCTTCGAAATATTTTAATGCTTTGTTGAAAATTATCTATTCTGCATCTTAACCTATAAGTTCTTTTTTCTGATACTTTCTTATCATCTGCCATATATGATTATTTGCTATTTTACATTTTAAATTAAAGATTTAGTTGATCTAAGACGACTCTTTGAAAAGAAAATATGTTTTTATACTTTCAAAATTAATATAGTAACATTCTGTAAATTGACCTTAGTAGATCATTTATATATTTACTTATTTTTCTTTTTCAGTACATTGGACATCTATTTTTTAAGTGAATGAGAAGTATGACACTTACAGAAATGGAGCCATTAAAAATACACTTAGATTCTTTAGAAATGGCTGGGAAAATGGTAGATAAACATATTATAGCTGATAGTAATTTTCCATCTTTAACCAATCTTATGAGATACAGTGTACAAGGTAAAGTATATATTACTCTATATCAGATAAACATAACAGTACTGAAAACACAGTTTTTCTGTAGAAAAACTAACTACAACAAATATATTTTCTATATAGGTGGACCAACTGTTAGTGGTCTTGATGATCATGACTATCCTAATTTAAATGGTGGATCAATGAGTTTAACAAATATCAATCAAATGAAGATACATAGCAAAATTCCATTGCCTTCTGAAGTAATGGAACATTTTGGTCGTATCCTTTTTAAATATTCAAGACCAATATTGTCTTCCTGAGATAAATATATAATTACTTGAATATATCAGAATGTTTCAGAATTACCATAATGTATCTTGTATAATCCTTAAAAAATATATAGATATGCAGTGCCACTGTATGATGGGTCTCTTTACAGAAATTTCTAAGGCTTGGCTTACTATCGACAGTGATATTTACCTATGGTCTTATGAAAATGAGTAAGTATAAAAATATTTTGTATTTTTATTAGTTAATATAAGTTTATAAATTTACATGTAGAAAAGTACTTAATTTTATTGTAATATTTATAGGTCAGATGTTGCATATTTTGATGGACTGAATGAAACCATTATAAGCGTAGGCTTGGTAAAACCTAAGGCAGGGATCTTTCAGAGTTATGTTAAATATTTATTAATTCTCACAACAACAGTAGAAATAACTATCCTTGGTGTTACAATACCTGATGATACAAAAGGTAACAATTTATTATAACTCTAGTTTGGTCTTGACTACTTGTTGCTACATTATTACTTTACACTTATTTTCTCTTATATGTCCACAGAAGTACAATTGGTTCCAGAACCTATTTTTACCGTTACCACTGATGGAATAGGAATCACTACAATTGCTAATACCAGTAGTGGCCGAATCTTCCTTGGTGGTAGAAATGGATCATTATTTGAAATATATTATCAGGTTACAAGACTTTTGATATATTAACAGTGATATTACGCTTATGTTAAGTATTTTAATTTCAATGAAAATTTTGCTTTAATCAATCATTTTCTATGTTTCTATGTATGTAGGCAGAGAGCAGTTGGTTCGGCAAACGGTGTAAAAAAGTTAATCATTCGGAAGGTCCATTGTCATTTTTGGTACCATCATTTGTTTCTATGGCATTGTCAGAAGAAGAAGCTATAATACAGATATCCGTGGATGATTCACGTAATATTTTGTACACTTTGGGCGATAGAGGTACAATCACAGTTTGGGATATTAATGAGGGTGGTGCATCCAGAATTACATCATTGTCTCAGGCTTCTTTGGTACAAAATACTGTCCATGTTGTTAAGTATGTAACCCTTTATCGATGTTAATAATGTGAACTTTGCCCGTGGTGTCAAGTTAATATATGCTCTCTTCCAGAACTTTGGATAGTAACAATTTCCGACCTCTTGTGAGCATATCTGCCATAACAGAGTCCGAATCTGTACACCTAAATTTGGTTGTGGTCGCAGCGACGGGAACTCGCTTCTACTTTAGTTGCACTTCAGTTACGAATCCTACAAGTAGACCACAAGGTCTACACCTGATACATGTCAGGCTGCCGCCGGGTTACGCTGCGAATGCTCCGGTAATGAGGCCACGGAAAGTGCAGATGGCGTATTACAGAAAAGGTAAATTACTTATCTATATATTGAATAGCCAAATTTGACTAAAAAATTGAACCAAACAATTTCATTAACCCGACATATTGCGAATGAAACGTTGCAAATATTGTAACATTCGTATTGAAATCATTTTTAGGCACTCTTATTCTTGTTTGCGGCGGCGATACAGAAAGTGCATGGTGTTTAAGTAACGATGCTTATCCATTTACAAATTATTTAGCTGAGACACAGAGTATCCTACCTCTTGATAGTCCAGCCTGGGCTATGGAAGAAATTATAGGGGACTCAGCTATACATTTCGAGAAACAGAACAGTCCTGAGGGCGAACCTCCACTGTTAGTGCGGCAGCACATGGAACCACCGAGAAAATTCATATTTTTGACAGCACAAGTACATACATGATGAATATATTTTTATCACGTATATGTAAAACATTACGTATGCATTATTTATTAACAACCCAATCTTTTACTGCAGGGCGCAATAATTTTAATGCAAGTACGTCCTGTGGATATCTTGCGACAACTGCTCTTGGAACAACGCGGACCTGACACTGAACCAGTGCGTGCGTATTTTCAAACGCAATCTTTGGAACAAGCATGTGCTACGTGTCTCATCTTGGCAACACTCGCGAGTTCTCAAAACGCCCAGGTTTGTAATGTTTGTATTATCGTTTGCATTATTTACATGTTGTGAATGCTATTAATATAAGTACTTGATCATCAGTTGTCAGAATGGGCAACCCGTGCATTCTTTTTATACGGTGGTCAAAGAACAGCAGGAATAGGTCTCCCCATTGATATGCATAGTGGTTTTTCCAATATAAATCCAGGTGTGTGTACTCGACCAATAATATCCATTTTTTTGTTTCGCATTTTTAAATCGATTTTATTTTTATCTAGTAGATTTACGTACATCCACGCCTAGAGTGCCAACTTTTGACTCTAGAACTCAAGCCTTTCGATCACATGCCCAAATGGGACTTAACACGGACGTCGCTTTACAACACTTTTCTGCGAAACACAGTGGACTGTACTTATATGTAGGAAGAATACTTCGTCCTATATGGAACATAAGATGTATAAAGCAAGAGATAGTAAATAATAAAAGTCAGGTGAGTGTGATATTAGAGAGAAATGATCACAATTATGTTATTCTACCATTATTAATTTTATTTTAAAAATACTACTTTTTTCAGATATCCAGTATAGTACCAGCAACACAAATAACTTGGATTTTGGGACATTTGCAAGCCCTGAGGTCTTTCTTGAACAGAAATACGCATATCACGAAACAGTATGTATTATTAAAATATTCTGTTGTGTAATTTTAAAAATATCTTTGCGCAAATGCGTGGTATTTTAATTGATTACGTTTAATGGACATATTTAAGAAACTAGAAAATTAATTTTGAATTGAAACTAAATGTACTTGTTTCTTAGGCAAAATGCAACCAGTAGAAGTATAACTGGCTTTGAAACAACCATTTCGAGTCATTTTCAAGAACCAATCGTGGAAGAAAGAAATTCGTTGGATGCTTTAAAAGTTTTTATCACTCATGCCTGTGAAGTTCTGGGTTTATGGAAGATATTATGTGAAAATCAATTGAATAATATTGTTAACTGCTTAACAAAGGTTATTATTATTTAACTTTAGTTAAGTCTTCTGAAATATTCGCCTCTTATTTTCACGATATGCGATCAAAGTATATCGATATTTTCCAGGATCAGATTACTCAGTTTTCGACAGCCACCTTTAGAGATCTGATTTTAATAGGCCATGAGATATCTTCTCTGCTCATCGTTCATTTGATCGATAGGTAAGTTGATATCGTGAATCTCTTAAAGATGTAGCAAGAAGTAATTTACAATTAATTTCTTGCAGCTATCTTGGAGATAACGCATCAGTGGATTCTGTAAGTGCAAAATTAAGGGAAGTATGTCCAAATTTGTATAGATCCGAAGACGCTGTTTGTTCTAAGGTAAATATTAATAGTAGTAGTGTAGTTGTATATCGATTTTCACATGCCAAATATTGATGATTAAAAATAACAATCGTTGCAAATTTAGGCGAACGAGATTATCCTGAAAGCAAAAAGTTCCACAAATCCTGAAGAAAAAGAATTGCACCTGCAATCTGCCTTAAAGGTATGTTAGAATAATATTTGTATGATGCAAAGCAATGTATAATATCCTTTCTTAAATGTATATGTAGCTCTGCAAGGAGGTAGCACCCAGGTTAAATTTGGCGGCGGTATGCCAGCAATTCGTGGCGTGCCAGTTCTACATGGGAGTGCTTGAATTATGTATTTGCTGTGCAGAAAGAATAGATCCCAATAATGCCGCCTCGCATTATTACAAGAATAATGAGCCTTTAGAGGATCAGGAAGGAAATCAAGCCTTTATGAAACGGTACATACAGCTTATAGTACACAAAATAAGATATATAATGGTATCTATTTTTCTGGATAATCCTGAGTATCATCTAATCATCCAATTCGTATTTTATTTTCCATATTTTTTACAGTTTAGAAATTTATAAGGAATTCATTACGATGCTGGATCATTTGTATCAGCAGAGTCTTTCTAGTCCTTTAACACCGACTATACCAAGCAAACCCGGACTTCCTTTGCTGACTACTTCAATCACTACGATGACACCAGCTAAAGATATAGTAAGTTGATCTTCCTTTGATCGTCGGTAATATTTTAATATTAACGTTTGTTTTTAGTTACACGAAATCATAGGTGACGCACTGCAAGCTCCATGTGAGACACTACATTCCTCCATTTATACTTGGATGATAGAGAAAGGACTTCATGGTGAATTAGTCGCGCTCGCCGCACCGTCGTTAGAGACTTATCTCAATCGGGTTAATGCGCCTGAATTACTCTGGCAATTTTATGAGAGAAATAAAAATCACGCAGCTGCGGCGAAAATCTTGGATTCTTTGGCCAGCAAAATCGGGTATGCACACGTCATTCGTATTATGCGATTTGTATTTTGTCGAACAGATGTAATAACCGATGTTCACGTATATAGGTCAGATATATCATTATCGGAGAGAGTTGAATATTTAGCACGAGCGGTTGCATGCATGCGAAGTCATCAAACTGGATATGCTCCTTATCTTGGAATCTTCTTGCGTGAATTAGAAGATAAATTGGAAATAGCTAGAATGCAACAAAAGGTAGTATATATTTTATACTAGCTCTGTTAAACCAGATATTTTAGTTAAAACATTATTTATGCGTGTCTATAATAATCGTTACTTTCAATATATAGATACTTGATATTATCAATAATGCAACAAGCAATCAACGCCTGCAAAGCCTGCAAGGTTCCATGACATTGAAAGATGCAAAATTGAGATTAAATTCTTCATTGCTCGACATCACACAGGTTTGTAACTTTGATACGTAAGTTACGATTTATTACGTTTCGTGACATTTATATGGAATATCAATTACAGTTATATGAGGAATATGCAGAACCTTTACAGCTTTGGGAATGCAAACTGGCAATAATTCATTGCTCGGGTCATCAAGATGATATGTTGATTAAAGGAATTTGGACGAATATAATTGATAATGGTACAAACCTAACACGATGTTCCAAATATTTCCTGATATTCTACCATATTAAATTTTTTTAATTTGTAATGAGTTTCTATTTGCAGAATTAGAAAACGCGACAGCTCCCTCCAACGAAGATAAAATTACCATTTTAATGAGTAAAATTAAATTACTTGGCCAAGAATATGTCGGATCACCGCATTGTTTTCCAATTGGTAATTACACTCTACAAATTTTTTTAAAAAAACTTATTTCATACATATGAATGTTCTCTAATTTCTTTCACGTATCTTGCAGACTTTTTAGTGAAACAATTAGAAATGAAAGCGTGTAAATATAAGGTGTCCAATACTGGCATTATAACTGGATTCTTGGAATTGGGAGTATTAATGGAAGATCTTTTAGATATTTATGATAAGTAAGTATAAATATAATACAAAAGAACAGATGTTTGTGTATGTGTGTATGTTCTTGCGATACAAAATAATGATACATCATCCATTTTTAGAATGATTGGTAAAAATACCCGTACTTGGTTAAATGAAGGCAATGAATTTCATTTGATTGAATCGACAGCGAACTTAGTGCAACAATTTATATCGCATTCGAATGTTACAAACAGTTTTGTCAGGTGAGTGTTATCTATAATCGATCAAATCTTGTTTCACAGGTTTCACAGGTTAAAAATGAGAAAGAAAACTCGACTTTGTAGAAATTAAAACTGAATTATATGTTTCTAATCGACGTTAAATTTGGTTTTAATGTGTAAATCTTTATTTTTAATACAGGAGAAAAATAATTACAAAATGTCAAGATGTTATTTCAAAATGCTTAACAACACTGTTCAGCAAACCTAATGGTGGTGATCTTGACAGAGAAATTGCAAATTTGCGATCCATCCAAAGCAAATTGAATCGCATGTAAGACAACTTTACCTGGATAATTAGGATGGGATGTACATTATATATATAAAATATTAAAATGACTTTTCAAATTAACTGATACAAGCTATGGTGTTATTTATGGCATCGCTAATTAAAATAAGCAATTGTCCAATTTTCTGATGAATATTTATCAAGTACTGCCTTGTCTAATTTTACAATGTTGCAAATTAATGCTGTATCAAGTAATTATATGAAATTCTTAAATATATGTGATGTATATATATTTGAAGCAATATTTATATATTTATTACTCTTTCCACACAAAAATATAACAAAACTTTACAGGAGAAAAAACTTGAAGAGTTTTGTATTATTAGATTATAAAGTAAATAAAAGATCATATTGGTTTAAATTTTGAATATTTTAATACAAACACCTTGAATTGTGTTGTATCCATACCAAATATAGATGTACAATGTATATAAATTTATTTAACAAATTATTTTTATAAGAGAAAATAAACTTAATAATATCATACAATTAAAAATCTGTAGGTAGGATGTTCATTGCAAATGAGAATATTTTTTCCAAAAAGAGTTAGTTGTAAAACAAGTTGATAAAAAAATAAATTCTATAAATTAGGCATTTATAAGCTTGCTCTTCACAAATTCGGCATATTAATTGGATATTCTCGAGTATATATTTTTGAAGTAATATTTATATATTTATTACTCTTTTTACATAAAAAATGTGACAAGCTTTATAGGAGAAGAAGCTTGAAGAATTTTGCATTATTAGATTATAAAGTAAACAAAAAACTATATTGGTTTAAATTAATTTAAATTTTGAATATTTTAAAACAAACACCTTGAGTTATGTTGCATCCAATATAGATATATAATATATATAAGTTTATCATTTAACAAATTATTCTTATGGAAGAGAATGAACTTAATAAGGCTACTTAATAATTAGCTTAATAAATTAAATTTAATAATAACTTAATAATTAAACTTAATAAATAACTTAACAATTAAAAATCTGTAGGTAGGATGTTCATTGCAAATGAGAATATTTCTTCCAGCAAGAATTAGTTGTAAAAAAAGTTGATACTTCCATAAATTAGGCATTTACAAGCTTGCTCTCCATAAATTTAGCATATTAGATGGATATTCTTGAGTATAATAGCAATATGTTTAGTATGAACAAGGAAGAAGCATTCATACTAATTTAATAAAATTCAGTTATTATCCAATATATATTAATATCTTTAAGATATAGGAAGATGAGATAACTGTCTAAGATTTGTTACATGTTGTCCACTAAGTCAATACTTAACAATGTCTTAAAGATTCAGATAGAATCCACATTCAGAGATTAAAAGGTCCAAGCCATATAATCGAAATCATTTTTCCACGCTTTATGCAGTCGACTACTTTTGAGGTCTTTTTACAATATACACAGTTTATTTTGTCAGAACCACAATGGATCACCAAATCCGAATCAGCATTTTGATTTTTTTGAATAGGTGTACAAAAATACAACTTCATAGCATGATACATACGCCACACTCATCTTTATTAAATGCACGGACTATATATATATGAAGAACGACACTCTATTGGCGATTTCAAGTACAATGCACATATCTTGAGGTATACTACCTATATTGGCAAGATAGTGATCCTCATATAAGCGATTTAGAAATATTAGATTATCTAAAAAGTATTGAGCTTTCGGAGGTCAAAATTGAGAATATATTCATTGTTATTTGAAAATAACATTATGAAGCCATATATGCAACATTTTGTTCGATGAGCTTCTGCCACTTTTCCGGCAACACCATAATTCCGTCGCTATAGAACTTTTGTGGTTTCTGGTCAAAAAATTGTGACACGTGGTTTTCACAGGCCTCTTTTGAAACTAACTTAACACTATTCAAGGAGTTTTGCAGAGACCGAAACAAATGATGATAGTCTGACGGTGCCAGGTCCGGGCTATACGGTGGATGCATTGAAACCTCTCTCCAAGCCAAGTTCTCTCAATTTCTGACGGATCGTTAAAGATGTATGCAGTCTGGCGTTGTCAGCATGGTATACGACACCCTTTCTCTTGACCAGTTCCGGCCGTTTCTTTTGAATTGCTAGATGCAATTGCGCTAATTGTCGACAGGTCCGAGTCTATTGTTCTGCTTGGCGGCAGCAGCTCGTAATGCACGATGCCCTTCCAATCCCACCAAACACACAGCATAACCTGGGTAACCTGGGTTGCGTCAGTGGAGCTTCTCCTCGCTTTGACCACGATCTTTTTCGCACATTGTTGTCGTAGGTTATCCACTTATCATCATTCGTAATTAACCGCTTCAGAAATGGCTTGATTTCGTTACGTTTCAGTAGAGATTCGCAGATAGAAATTCTATATCGAGTAAATTTTTTTGAGTCAGATCATGTGGCACCCAAACATCGAGCTTCTTTTTGTAGCCAGTTTTCTCCAAATGATTTAACACTGTTTGGTGATGGATGTTTAGGTCATTGGCGATGTCATGACTGCTTACATGCCGGTCTTGCTCAACTTTTGCCAGAATATCATCCACTTTTTCTATGATTGGTCGCCCACTGCGAGGAGCATCTTGGACATCGAAATTTCCAGAACGAAAGCGACTGAATCATCTTTTGGCTGTTGCTTTTGATAATGTATCTTGCCCTTAAACAGCACAAATATCTTCACGGGCCTGCGCAGCATTTGCGCCTTTATCAAAATAAAATTGTAAAATGTAGCGTAGTTTTGCGGAAAGTTCACTCATCTTCACGGCGCAAAACCTTACGTCCGATTATAAGAATTCCAACACTTTTTATGCGTTTACTAGCTTCAACTGTCAGCTATCTGATGACGTTAAGCCTGACTTGCTGCGACTCATATACTTTGAGATTTCGGACACTAATGCTATCTCGTGCGCAAAAGGCACAATACTTTCTAGACAACCTGATATATGCCAAATTGAAAAAGAACTAATTTAAATTTTAATTCGTAGCAACAAAAACTTGTAGAATATTTTGTCAAAAAGATTTTTCATAAGAAAAATGTATCTTGCATGACCTTGAGTACGGGACATTTCCTGATTGGCTAGTATGACGAGAGTGGGGAGAGCAGATGCAACGGATGACGCGACGATTCTATTGGTGGATGTAGTTGTAGTGGGGAGACTTTCGTAGACAGGATATAAATACTGGGACTGTTGAAGTGATGTTTCACTCGTTCTCTGCTTTCGGTAGAGGATTCACCTAGTATTCGCAGTCTAGATAAATCAACATGACTGGTCGTGGAAAGGGAGGAAAGGGATTGGGAAAAGGAGGAGCGAAGCGGCATCGCAAAGTACTTCGCGATAACATCCAGGGTATCACCAAGCCTGCTATTCGACGTCTTGCACGTCGTGGCGGTGTCAAGCGTATTTCTGGCTTGATCTACGAAGAAACTCGCGGTGTCCTGAAGGTGTTCCTTGAGAACGTGATCCGTGACGCGGTCACTTACACAGAGCATGCCAAGAGGAAGACCGTGACCGCCATGGACGTTGTCTACGCACTCAAACGTCAAGGAAGAACCCTTTATGGCTTCGGCGGTTAAACATGACTTCGACTGCACAATATACAATCGGCCCTTTTCAGGGCCACCAATATCAAACTTGGAATTTCCTTCTCAGTACAGCAATTGTTACTGATATCATATTTTATTTTATATTTTAGATATTTAAAAATGATTTAGTATTTTAATATTTAAATAACTTCCATAATAATTATCAACAGTAATTTATATACAATTTTAATAAAAATTTAAAAGCCAATTGTAAAATTATAATTTTTGTAATTGTAATTCTAATTGAATTCAACTAATCATCTTTACAAAGCAACAAACTCAATGCTAATATATATATTCCTAACTTTGACATTATTTTTGCATATTGTATCATAAAACAATTCTCAAACAAGTAATATCAAATCGTTAAATTAGGGAAAAGAAAACTCAATGTAACCGCTATGTGACAGTTATAACAAATACACTATCTTATAAAATTTAATCAAATTTATATTAAGATAAAATTTATGTATACATGATATATATGTAGTAGAAATATTTGTGTAAATCTTTAGTCATATGCAAGAAATCAAGTCCAAGCTCGATAATTTATTGTTATGTTTTATCTACTATCAATGACATGATTGCATTGTTTTTACATTTTATGAGTTCAAAATATACATCTGACATTCGCTTTATCTCCCAATAATGATCAAAAAGATATATTTTTTTCAAATACAAATATTACGAGATTTATTGAAAAATGTCTTGCAATCTTTCCATTATATTACAACATTGGAAACAGCATGAAAATGTACAATAAATTTGTAATAATGCGAATAGATCGAGGAAAGTATCCACGTTTTAAGAGATTTGGGCCCTGAAAAGAGCCGATGCATAAAATAAATGTCGAACAAACGCAGCAGATTTTTCACTTGGAGCTGGTGTGTACTTTGTTACTGCTTTTGTGCTTCGCTGACTGCATGCTCGGCCAATTCATCGGGCAGCAGCACAGCCTTACAGCTTACGACCGTCTGAATTTCACGAGAAGTGATTCTCGATCTGGCTGGCAGTGGGCAGCACCGCCTGCATTCACGGCGCTCCGGTGTGATCGAGATGCCGAGGGCGGCAAGCGCAGATGGGAGGCCTATAAAAATTTACAACACGAAGAGTCGATTCGGACAGTCGGACTGAAAGATAGAGACGGAAAGAGGCACAGCCGAGTGAGAGACGATTAGAGATAGATAGCCGAAGAGCTTATCGAATTAATAGAAGAAAAGTTTTAGAGATTAAGATCGAGAGAGAGAGAGTTAGGCGAAGGTGAGCAAGAGATAAATTGTAGCTGGTCGAAAGGAGAATCTTGGCGCAGCAGTCGAACGCGGTACGCAGAAGATAAAACATTATAACGTATTGTCGAATCAGTAGAATCGTATTTTGTCTCATAGTTATAAGAATAAGTACATGTAAAATAAGTGTTAAATATATGTGTGTGATTGTTTGAATATTGGTGTGAGGATTATTAATTGCAACCTTTTACAGACATTTGGGAAACTTCTTTTATTCTATTAGCGGAAGAATAGTTAAGTCGCGAGTTATTCTTACAAATAATTTGTATGGAAGTGGAACAGTCTCTCTTCTTAATAGTAACCCTAGAACCTTTTATCGTAATGTGCTAATCTTGACATCTCGGCAACAATTCTCTCGAATATATCGTTCACAAAATTGTCCATGATGCTGATAGCTTTGTTGGAAATTCCAGTGTTCGGGTACACGTGCTTCAACACCTTATAGATGTAGATGGTGTAGCTTTCATTTCTCTTCCTTTGCCTTTTCTCGTCGATCTTGCTGATGCAATAAATTTGTGTGAAGTCTGGAAGTTGTCACGATGAAACACAACTTTTCTGTTTGCTAATTCTGCTGGATGGAATTATTCAATTTGTCCAATTGATGACAATACACATTCGAATCAATCGTCTGGTTATTTGGTAGCATTAAAAAAAAAATTATTCTTTTTCAATTTCACCAAACAGAGAGCATCGTTTTCTTTTGATACATATCAGCTTTCGATGTCCTTTGAGCTGGTTCATCACGTTTATCCCGTGATCTTTTATGTCTAATATTATACATAATCCATTTTTCATCTCTAGTTACGAGTTTTTTCAGAAATAAATCGTTTTCCTCACGTTTTAATAATAAATCGCAGATGGTAATGCGACTAATCAAATCTGTTTTTAATGCTTGAAAGGAAACCAAGCTATGTCAAGTATCGATGAATTCAATGCCTCATCGATTTCGAAAAACAATTCTGCTCTTGTTCAGTTGACTCATCTTGTCCATATACGGCATGTGATTTTTTTCCTGCTTCCGTTGCATTCTTGCCTTTGTGATAACGATAAAGGAGCTAAACTGATGCAAACAATGCAAAAGTGGAAAAGAAGCAAAACTGATGGAAGTAAAAGCAAAAAGCAACGAAAACATCTGTCGGTTTTCCATTTCTGATGCAACGTCAGACGAAAACAACTTGAGAGTTCTGAAACAGCTTTTTTCAAATCAAACTTGAGATATGCACTGTAACAAACATAAAATGATTTTCTGATTTATTATAGAATGAATATGAAAAAATTGAAATTACTCTTCGACCACTCAATACAACAAATTTTCAGCGACGTGGAGCGAGATACGAACCGACCAAAATCTAGCTGCCGAATAGGCCGTGCAGCCGCCCGGCATACGTTTTTATAGAAAACGGAGCCGACAACGCTGCACCAATCGCGTCGCGTGTCGTCGACCGAGCTCATTGGTGAGCCGCGACTGCAGTTGGTTCACGCTTTCTACGTTAGAATCGGAGTCTCGATGGAATCCATCACTCATGCAAGCGTTACATCAAGATAGTTTGTAATACAATGAAACGTCCGCACGGTTCGATAAAGGTCCCCTCGATATAGCAATAAATACATTAAGATGCGCTCACATTACGCTCGGTCGACGTCGCCACACCGAGTCGCACAGAAAATAATTCATGAGAAATAAAGATCAGCTGTAGTTTCCTTCGTATAATAATCGATCCGTAAATAAATTTTGTAAAATTACACGTCGTTTCATGAAGTACACTCGCGTTTCAGGCAGATCAATATCCTTCGATGAAGTTCAAGATGTATGAGGTGTTAAAGAGCGTCGCGTCTCGCGGTAATCGAAAGGAGAAGCGAGGGAGACGTTCGACCATTGTAAGTTTTGCAATGTAATGCATTTTTTCGATGCTATGCATTATCCTCTGTACACGCCGCTTCGACGTTATGCCATATAGAACATGTCAGGAACTCGACTCTCTCGAGCACAGAATAACCGCGAGTACACCTTTGTGCGGCGGACGAACAGTGGAAGGGCATTTTTTTCTCCCAGCGCCATTTCGTGATCCGCTGGCTGTTCGTGATGCGACGTAGGAATAATTTTTATATATTTGCGAGATTGCATTTCTATAAGTTTGTATGCTTAGACAGGAGATGATATTCTGGGTGTAATAAAGCATGATGCTTTTGTTATGACTTTTTCTTTCTCTTTATAATAAAATGACATCCTAATAAAATAAATTTCGCTCTCTACTGTTCAATATTGAACAACCGATTGCGTGAAATGTTTTATTTCATAGAACATGTAACGCACTAAGCTGAAAATTTGCTTGACTGAAATTAATTTCAACTCATATATTGTTCAAGTGTACATATTGAAATAAAACAAAGTAAATGTTGTAATCTTGAGATGTACATATAAATGATTGTCTCAGCAGTTTCAACGTATTAATGCTTTATATAAACAAAAATCAAGAATATTGGACTTCATGAAAGGTTTGTATAACCTCAATGTTGAGGCGGCAGGTAAGTAGGTTAGATTAGATTAGGTTAGGTTAGAATAGGTTTTGTCTTGATGCTACAGATGCTAGACAAGATTGTTCCATTGTCAGAGATAATTGTGGCCCTGAAAAGGGCCGTTTGAGTATGACTTCTGAGAATTTATGCCTTCTTCTCGGTCTTCTTAGGTAGCAGAACAGCCTGAATGTTCGGCAACACGCCACCTTGTGCGATAGTCACACCAGACAACAGCTTGTTTAACTCCTCGTCATTGCGAATGGCAAGCTGCAGGTGACGGGGAATGATTCTCGTCTTCTTGTTGTCACGAGCTGCGTTACCAGCCAACTCCAATACCTCAGCAGCGAGATATTCCATGACGGCAGCCAAGTAAACCGGAGCACCGGCACCGACGCGCTCAGCGTAGTTTCCCTTCCTCAGCAATCGGTGTATACGGCCGACAGGGAATTGCAGTCCAGCCCTATTCGAACGGGACTTCGCCTTTCCCTTGACTTTACCGCCCTTTCCGCGACCAGACATCTTAGTTCAGCTTACGTACACAAAGAAATCGTTCCTCTGTCAAGTGTGAGAAAGTTGTGGCGTAGCCTGGCCAGTGCTGACCCTTTTATACCAGGCGACGTCAGCGCGCCTTCACCAATGAGAGTGCGCGCTGGGCTTCCGGCTCTCTGATTGGTGCGTTGCAGCTCGCGTGCATGGGTATATAATGACCACAGAGCGCCCTGGCATCATTCTGCCTTTGGACAGCGAGATCGTAGCATCTGACGTTCAATCGACGAAATTTCTCAAGAATGCCACCGAAAGCGAGCGGTAAAGCCGTGAAAAAAGCCGGCAAGGCCCAAAAGAACATCAGCAAGACCGATAAGAAGAAGAAGAGGAAGAGGAAGGAGAGTTATGCCATTTACATCTACAAAGTACTGAAGCAAGTGCACCCGGACACTGGTATCTCCAGTAAAGCTATGAGCATCATGAACAGCTTCGTCAACGACGTGTTCGAGAGGATCGCCGCGGAAGCGTCGCGATTGGCGCATTACAACAAGCGCTCGACCATCACCTCCCGGGAGATACAAACTGCTGTGAGGCTGCTCTTGCCGGGTGAATTGGCCAAGCACGCAGTCAGTGAAGGCACGAAAGCAGTCACCAAGTACACCAGCTCCAAGTAAATCGGAGGATTCGCTTGGGATTTTACGAACGGCCCTTTTCAGGGCCAACAAATACCTCTAACGTTGACTCACTTGAACGTTGCATCTTTATGACGAAATTTTCAAATGATATTACGAAGTTATCTATATAGAATCTGACTTGAGAATTTCAGTCTTCAAAAGTGTATATTACTATTATAGAATAACAATTACTATTATAGAATAACAATTCCGATACTTGCACATCAACAGTATTGTATTATAAACAATATAACAATTTTACATCCGATCACGATTGTTTTGAGATATATTTAAAATAACGAATACAATTTCACGATGAATAACGACACGTCGTAGATTCCGCGAAACTATAAGTCAGTTTGAATTTCATAACTCGTGACGTAGCACCAACGCAAAAGGCTCTAGTGTTATTTTACAAAAAATGTCTCCAATCAAGCGCGGACATATATATGAATTTGGTAATTATGATACATCGGAGAATATTGTACAAGTTCGCTTTGCACAGGCAAGTGTCTTAATATTCGTTGAAAATTGAACGTTTCGAGGTTACTTTATATATATTCACGCGTGTTTTAATATTTCAGTTATTACAAAAGTTTTCGTCCTAACCTAACAAAGTTATCCAAGCGTGCGAGTCCACGTCGCGGTATGGCAACTAACACGGATTTCTTGTCAGAGACTAGGTCGCATTTAAGAGATCTCTTTCGTGCCGCCGTGAAAGCAGTGTCTCCTAACGAGATTATAAAGAAGAAAGTGAAACTCCGGGATAATGCTCTGTACATTAACAATGAAAAGTATCCGCTTCAAGAGAATGTTTACATAGTCGGATTCGGCAAAGCGGTTATGGGAATGGCCGTGGAACTCGAGAGGATACTCGGTGGTACTCTGAGGAAAGGTATAGTCAGCATTCCGAGAAATTCAATGGATATCGTGTGGAAGTCGGAGGACAAGTCTAGCTTTCCGAAGTTGTACAACAGCGTGATCAAATATCGCGAAGGTGGCATGAATAATCAACCCGATGGGGAATCGTTTGAAACCACACACGATATTATAGATCTGGTGGAGAAGTTAACAGACACCGATACTTTGATAGTCTTAATCTCAGGTGGAGGCTCAGCTTTGCTATATATGCCAAGACCTATCATTGACAAAATGGATAAATTGGAACTATGTAAGAAGCTTCAGAATGCAGGTGCTAGCATTACTGAGCTCAATATCGTAAGAAGAAAGTTGTCCCTTGTAAAAGGTGGTGGTTTGGCACGAATGGCTTATCCTGCTTCTATTATCGCACTGATACTATCTGATATTATCAATGACCCTATCGACTTGATTGCTAGTGGTCCTACTGTTTACAGTGCCAGAGCACCAGAGCAAGCAGTTGCTATATTGAAAAAATATAATTTGTATCAGTCATTAGAGGGTGATTTGAAGAAAGTTTTAACATCCAAAGAGACCTTCAATGATGTTCCATTGTTAAATTCAGCTAATCAGTTTAAGCATGTAACAAACATAATCATAGGGAATAATACAACAGCTATAAAAGTTGCATGGCAAGAGGCATTGTATAAGAAATTGACTCCAATAATATTGAGGAATGATGTCGAAGGCAATGTACGTGATGTTAGTTTAGGATATGTGCACATAGTGAATTTAATATTGCTCATCTTAATGAACAAATTGACATTAGAAGATTTCTATGATAAAGTGTATAATAATGCAATTCCATTAGATTTGGATAAAGTAAATGAGATCTATCATTATATTGTCAACAATATTGGTGATATAGTTTTAATTGGAGGAGGAGAACCTACAGTCTTGGTAAAAGGTCAAGGGAAAGGTGGCAGAAATCAGGAATTAACTTTACGCTTCTCACAAGATTTATATGGAATGTACAAAGTACATCCAGAATTTGCCAATTATGAGGTAATGATGTTGAGTGCTGGCACCGATGGTCAAGATGGTCCTACTGATGCAGCAGGTGCATTCGGTTATCCTGCTATTGTACCTATAATGCAAAATCTTTACCAAAGAGTGAAAGTTATGTCCAATGAAAAATTCACATCAAGCATGTCTCAGGAAGCAGTAAAATATATGGAGAAAAATACAGATGAGAATTCGACGCAAGATCCGTCATGTGAACTATCGAAAATGACAAGATCTATTGTTCAACCGCAGGGACAAGATGCCACCGTAGTAGGATCTGCTTCTGCTCGAACAGATGATAACGTCCATATTGATCCTATGGTATTGATGGAAACGGAACGCATGTTGCTTAAGAATACTCTGTCAAATAACGATACATACAATTTTTATTCACGTTTTAAGAGAGGCGCGGATTTATTGAAGACAGGACTCACTGGTACTAATGTTATGGATTTACATTTTATTTACATTAGAAAAAAACGGTGCGAAGATAAATTCGCGATACATGATAAAATAACACAGTGTGGACATATTTTCGACATACACGACTTACATGTTGATACAATGACTGTCGAGAGATATAAGGCTAAGCAGGTTTCCTTAGAAGTTGACAAGGACAAAGATTTAATCGCTAAAGCTAGGGAAGAAAAGCCACTGCTTGACATAAAGATCATTGATGAAAATCTTACAGATATGTGTTGTAACAAAAAGCGCAAGAGTTGATCAAGCAAACTATATGTGAATAAAATATATGAAACGAACTGTATTATAGTAGAACTAAAATTATCTGTATACAGGATGTCCCATTTTAACTTTCGCATTAAAAAATCTCGAAAACTATGAAAGATATTACAAAAAGCTAAAACACGTTTTCCGTGATTTCGAAGGGGAAAGAGAATGGCATTATGGTTTTTTATTGGGAGGACATTTTGAAGGTCAGTTGAAGGTCAACTTACTTTTTTTTAAATAGAAAGCCCAATTTTTTATTCTATCTTCTTTTTCTACCAATTTTAACAACTTTTGTCTGAAACATTTTTTTATTTGCCTAATATTTTTTGAAATATTTAAAGAAAACTTAGTAACTTTTTCAACATTTAACTTACGATATCTCGCTAACTATTCGTCGAAAGAAAAAATAGTATCAGACTTTTTTTACTTTATTTACTATCAAGAATATATTACTATAATAGTGCCCTAACTTTTGTTAATTTAATAATTTTTAAATTTCCAAAGGTCGGTAAGTTAACAAAAGTTAGCACACTATTATAGTAATATATTATTGATAGTAAATAAAATAAAAAAGTCTAATACTACTTTTTTTTTCGACGAATAGTTAGCGAGATATCGTAAGTTAAATGTTGAAAAAGTTACTAAGTTTTCCTTAAATATTTCAAAAAATATTAGGCAAATAAAAAATGTTTCAGACAAAAGTTGTTAAAATTAATTGGTAGAAAAAGAAGATATAATAAAAAATTGGGCTTTCTATTTTAAAAAATTAAGTTGACCTTCAACTTAAACGACCTTGAAAATGCCCTCCCAATAAAAAACCTGATAATGCCATTCTCTTTCTCCTTCAAAATCATGGAAAACGTATTTTAGCTTTTTGTAATATCTTTCATAGTTTTTGAAATTTTTTAATGTGAAAGTTAAAATGGGACACTCTGTATATATCAATATTTTTCAGACAAAAAGTTAATATTTTACGTTGGTATAATACTGAAACTTTTTTTTTATAAAGATATATGAACGCTCTTCAATCATATTTGTATGTCAAAGGCACTGCTCAAAAATATATATCTTTCAAATTATAATATCTTTCTCTGTTGTATACACAGATATATTCATTACCATCGAAAAGTGGCATATATATATATATATATTTTTTTTTTAGAATTATCCATTTTATAATACGGTATTATGCTTTTAAAGATATTTTATATATTAGAAAGATTTAAGTTATATATATGTATGTCAGTATATTTGTTATAAATTAACATCATATACTGATAAAAATGAGATCACGTGTTTGTACACTATAATTATTGTGCATGAAAGTTTAAAGAGATTAGACGTGAAAATCTCTTTAACCGCACGCTAATCCATTACGCTAAAGATCCCAACTGAATAAATGATGTTTGACTAGCATATCACGGACCCCATCCTTCAAAGGCTGCGATTGTTCCTTTTTTGGCGGTAGTTCCCAGTCAGGATTTAAGTTAAATGCAAATTGACTTAATATTCTTAATTCGCATTTGATTTGCACCCAACCTGGACTGTTTATAAAACTCCATGGCTGATACCTAAATATAGTGTATATATTATTGTACAAGAAATATGTACTCATAAAATGAGTAGGTACTCACCACTTTTGCACCACTTCCACGCATGAACATAAAACCTCTAGCCATAAATGCAGTACTTGCTCATTCAATCCGAGGCAGATGAGAGAACGCAATTTCACATCCATTTGAGCGTGTGCATTGTCATGCGTTAAATTCACAGACTGGACGCAACGATATAACAACTGTGAAAAAATTAGTTCATCATTTATTAAACATGCAAGAGAGAAATAGTACTGAGATATAAATTGATAAAGTTTATAGCACACCTCTTCTGGAGTCAAAACTTTACCATCTTCATCCAATCTGTACGTTTTACACAGAACTAATCGACTGTAAACGGAATTGAAGTCTTTCTCCACTTCTCTATTGGAAGCCTCTTCTATAAACAGCCATGGGTGACATGGTCCGCCCAAAAACGATGGTCTCTTCATTCCATGCTCCAATACTGCTTTCACAGTAGGGCACAATGTACCTCTTACCAAGTCAGTAACAGCTTCACTAACCGCGTCGTCTCCAGCACATGTGTATTGTTTACTCCGTTCGTCCAGCAGTTCTACGAACTTCGCAGGAAACCATCCTAAAATGCGTCGTCAAATTAAATTAGATTCCACGTAACTTACTTCGCATACGTTACCTCTCAATCCATTGAGTTCTCCTACCCAGCAATGCTCGTCCTTTTGGCTAATAATCGTAATTATATCGTTCTTTCGGAAACCGAGTTCATCGTCATCGTGTCTTTCAAAATCTGTAATATAATTAATCGTTACATCGACATTGTTATCGCGAAGAAGATAACATGTGACGATAGAAACCTAGTAAAGCTTTTGCTCTTCTCTTTCGCGTTCGCGATACGTTCACATAATTGTCATGGTCTTTCGCGTGGCTCTCCATAGTATAATCTGCTATAAGTAGAATGTTGTTCAGTTTCGGATCGACGTTTATGAAATGCCTCGCCACTTGCAATACAGCTTCCCTCAGGTCGACTAGAATTTCTGAGGATTTCAAATCGACATTAAATCAGACATAATAGAAACAAATGTTATTAAAGTGTATACGTACAACTGCGTACCTGTTTGACGAATATTTTTAGATTTCGCATCATCTTCACCATCATCGTTGCCAAACAGAAATGTTTGCAACATTGATTTGTTTCGCTTCATTTGACGTCTAATAGAAAAACGTCTTCATTATCATGATATTAACCATATTGGCATAATAATAAAATAAATATTTTTCGTATATATACCTATTCAAGTGTTGCTTCGGCAAGTTCGGTACTGCATCTGGATTTCCTACTAGTCCACCCTGATCAGCCATTAAATATGCCAAATGGCGACGTCTGTGAGTTTCAACCAACACATCTGTCAATGACCCACTAACTTCTAAAGATACCTATATGAAAAATACATTTATGAAATATAGTAAAATCCTTAGTTTCTATATATTTTCTACAATTACATCAAGCAAACGCACATTGAATAATTGGTCCACGTCGTCGACGTCTCCTGGTATATTCGAAAGGGCGTTAAATATCTGTGCAGAATTCTCCAATTGTCTCAAATCCGTCTCTAAAGGAATATTTAATGATATTTAAAAGCAATTCTATAAAACGATTGTCAAGATATATAATAGATACCTTTTATTTTCAACATTCCAAGTGTGATTTGAAATAGAACTATGGATCCGTCGAAGAGGAACATGTCCCATATACGCAGTAATATTTTCATATGTACAACTGACGCAAATAAAGTCAGAAACCAATGGAGAGATATGAGACTTAATTCTATATCGTGTTGCACTAAAACGTGATCTATGTCGGGAAGGTAATTCGTTACTAATGTGCGAAGTACTCTTTGATCAGCTTGAATACCTGTAGGAATAATTATAACCTAATTGATATCAACTTTAGAAATTTGAAATATTTCACATGTATCTTGACAGAATATATTACCCAATAATGTTGAAGAATAATAAGAAGCTGGTAATAAGTCTTCTACTATTGTCGCCATCATCCAGAATGCATCTTCCTCTTCCAAGAGCAACAACAACGACGCTGCCATTGTGCCCGTGCCTTGACAATATCTTGAATGTCAATATAATAGAAGATTAAACAAATCAATATTTATATTACGATATAATAAAATATCAATAAACTCATCATAAATTCTTATCTGAACATTTGTACATACCCGATATCAGGATACAGCCAAGCCAAGGCACGCATAACACGCCTTAAGCGAGGTATACCGGTACTATGGAGATGACTGAAACATGCATTGGCTGGCATAATGCGAAGGAGATCTTTCTCTATTTGTTTATTTGTCATTAATGCATCATTACTCGAGGCTTTCACTATATCTTTGTACATGATTTCTGATGAACACTTTTTCTGGAGTGCTCCTGTAATGAAAATTATATTCCTATAATATTTAGCTGGTTATGTTTATCTTGTCTTTGTGGTTTTATCTACTTTGTGGTACCTGACATACGCATCCAAATTTGTGGTCTTAAAGAATGAGGTATGCCACGTCGAACCATTTCACGCAGTTTGTCTGTGCGTGGTAGTCTTCGATCTATATTTTGCCATGATAGCTCTGTTACTTCTTTGTTATGACTAAATTCCAAGAGAGCAACCCATTGCAACCTAAGGGAATAAATTAATTTGTAATTTTATTGAAGTTTTACACTTGACATAAAGAAACATGATTAATTATGTGACCTGTGTTGAGGATCCTCAACAAACGGTATTCCCAATAACTTCTTTGAACTTTGTTCAGGACCGTCCTCCTCTTCCACACGGAAACCAAATTCGTCGAATCTAAATTTGACAATTGACAGAATAATTATCAGAAAATTTCTGTGTCCTTTTTGAGATACACAGTATTCACCTGTACTCAGGTTGTGAATTCGGATCATCGGGCTGATTCAATTTAGCTAGGATATCTTGCGGCCACATCGACGATGTCAATGCCGAAAACGGTCCACCCGGTGCTGGGGACAGAGTCTCGCAGCATAAACCTCCGACTTCCACTTCAATTTCATCCTCGGAGACGGCTGTTTCTAATTTTTTCTAAAATATATGAACAATATAACGACGTACATGATAGCGTGTCGTATTACGTACGTGTTATTAATTTTATTGAGGACGTTGTGAGAAACTTCTATAAATTTGATTTCGGTACTCACATTATGCTCCTCTTTCCCGACGTAACCTTCGTGATCGCGAACATTAAAAAACGACTTAGCTAGATCCATCGTGTCCTCGATGAGTTTCACATGTAAATGTGTTAAATCCTTATTGACATTTTGCGACCATCGTTGCAGCTGTCAATGTCAGGTCACATATGTCGATCTACGGAGCACCATAGAATAACGTCGCAAGCGTGTATATAAAGATATTCCTTGCGACAATTAAAAAGCGATTCGCATTTTCATTCACATAGCGTCATCTAGGAACTCTCATCCTCTTTAGAAAAAATTGTAGGAACAGTAAAATCTTTGCGTTTTCTTAATTTAGTTTTTCAGATATCATTCAAAGATCGTTAAGTCTGTTTTCTCATTGAAAATAAAATCGGTCTTTAATTGACTTACTAATCTCTGGTAAAAGGAGCATCTGGTAGTTTCGGAATATCTTATATAGCACGTCTGGTTGCGCACATTACCGAACACCCAGTATGAACGAATCCCGTTATTATGCGCATTTCAAAGAGCAACCGCAAGGGGACGACACCGGCTGAGGCTGAGAGCGAGAGAGATGCGCCGTGCAGGGAATATGGCGTAAAAGTGAATGTTGCACATGTGTCAGTGATTTCGGTGAGAGGTCAGTTCCCAAGTCGGATTCGGTGTAAACTGTGAGCGAATGACCGCGGCGAGTTCGGCTCGTTAGGAGCGGTTACACGTGAAGCCGAGTGAAAGCCGGAATTCGCGAAAAAAAAAAATAACGCCGCACGAAAAGACGCACGACGGAGACGTACGTACGTACACACGCACGATCGGTCGGTCGGTCGGTCTGTCTGTCTGTCTGTCTGTCTGTCTGTCTGTCATCGTGGATACATTCGTACAGCCACCCACAGCCATTTCGCACTCGCCCGCCTCGTTTGCATCGTGTAGTCGCGTTAAAATGTCCGTTATTTAATGAGTCGGCGATCGCGGTTTCGTGCATGATTAATTGCGCGGCTTGCGCGCGCGAGAATCGCGTAGTTTCTCGACGCTACCTACCGATCGCGATCGGGTCGATCACACGGGCGATTGGAAAGCTCCCCGGCCTTAATAAACTTATCTTGGCACGGCAATGCATTCCTATCTCCTGAGTGTCGGTTACCGCCTCGGGTTTCGTTAATATGTTACACCTCGTAACGATGAAGTAGCCGCTTATAATATTTACATAACATGAATGCATAATGCGCGTAAAAAACGTACGTATGTAATAGCGCTAAGATGCAACGCGATTAATTGGCGAATAAGATTCCTGGATAGGAGAGAGGGCTTCCTGCTGATGTCAGTCCGGTCAAAATATTGTTTTTCTGTTATGTCTTTCACATGCTTCGGTATGCGAGGTGGAAATTGGTGTCACACCGAATCTTTATAGCGATGCTAATTCAAATGTTTGTGTACAAACGTGATATCTTGCAAGATTTGAATCTTGCAGGAAAACTTTGTCTCTTTACACTTTGATTGTATCATTTTTGTGCTTTTTATATCGCTACTGATGATTACTGAATATCAGTGAAATTTATTAAGTTATATCAGTGAAATTTATTAAGTCATATCAAATATGTAGCACATATTTAAATTTGTTTAATAAAGTACACATACATATATACACACACACACATATGCATCATACGTATGTCGTATATGTGTGTGCGCGCGCGCGCGCGCGTGTGTGTGTTAAATCATGCAAATATAGATAGTGAGCAAATAGTGAGAAGTATATATAAAACAAAGATATGCTACGGAAGATATAGATAAAAATAGCATATATATTTCTTTAATAAATTATATAATTAGTTCCTTGAACTATATATGCCTAATAAATTTTTAGATTGGGCCAATCTGTAGTGAAGAAGCTTCATATTAAAGTATACATCGATAATACACCAGTACAATAAACAAAATATAGGTAAGCCAATGAAAATTAATTAAACTATATTTTTTCTGTCTAAAAATTTTTTAACTGTTTACAGAATTAATATATACTTTATCTCTCTTTCTCTCTCTCTTTCTTAGCATTTTTCTCTTTATACAAGATGTTACTTATAATTTTTAAAAATATTACATAGTATAATAAGTAAAATTAATTTCTATTTTATATAATAGAATATTTATTAAGATAAAAATATATGCAATGACTAAGTAAGAACATAAAGTTAGAATTGTATAGAATAAATTGGATAATTAATGGGTAATTTCTCAATATCAAACAAAAAAAAAGCAACTGCTATGATTTAGTTATTTTATACTTTAATTTGTTGAACAGAGGAAAAAAATTATATACTAGGAAAGCAGAGAGACAGAAAAAGAGGGGGTTGTAATCTCAGAGAAGAGAGCCATTTCACAAGCTTGGTTTAGACATTCTAAATATAGCTGGAGGCTCTATAGGCTTTCCGTACTGTGTCATGCCATGCAGAGCAGCATCCTGCTGTGTTGCGTAGATCTCGCTCATTTTCTGCTGTCAGTATGGCACAATGCCAATTTTTGTCTGAATGTATCTGATAAGCTTCTAATAGTTGTCTCATCACATATTCTTTCAGTATCTGTTAATAAAGTGTTATTTTCTTTATTTTAATATTATGTAAAATATCTTTTTTCTTTCATATCTATTTTATTAAAGTGTTAGTAAAACTTTAGTTTTATCATTTATTCTATATAATTTTATAAAAAAAAATATATATATATTAATAAAGTATTATCTTCTTTATTTTAATATTATATAAAATATATTTTTTCTTTCATATCTATTTTATTAAAGTGTTAGTAAAACTATATAATAATTTTATCATTTATTCTATATAACTTTATAAAAGAATATATATATATATATGAAAGTTTGTTTTCCTTTAGAATCTAGTCAAATATTTGAGGATTAATACATTTGCATTATTTTACTTGCAGATCATGGTTTGTAGGGCTGGTGAAAAGATTCAAGTATGTGCGATTCAATTTTCTATGCCTTCCGAGGCTAATCATAAACTTTGCGCTAGTGAAAAATTTTCCTTATTTGTATCTACACGCGTGAAGGATCTTTACAATTACATCGAAGAGCATTATCACATCCGGGCAGATACTTTTAAGTTAATTTTATTCACGTCGTCGTGCAAGATGGTTATTAATTACATTCTTTAAATATTCAGTATTATAAATATATATATATATATGCATAATGTTATAAATATGTTTTGATATAATGCAATGTTTATGGTAGACCGATTTGTCCGAAGTGAAAGACAAAACGATGGAAGAAATAGGAGTGGATTTCTCAGTTGATCCGAATGAGGCGAAAAATACTCTCTTTGTCACTGATTCCACAAATTCCTGGTCACAAAAAAACCCGGACTATGGTTTGCCAACGTATAATCTTGCAGCTGCACCACCTCTTCACAGTCCACCTTCATGGGGAGAAGATGTGAACTTCAAAAATTTCATTAAAACTGAGACAAGTACATATAATATCTGATTTAAGAAATTTTATTTTTTAAATACATATTTAATAACATAAATCCTCTTATCATTTCAAGCATGCATCTAATAGTGATTTCTTTAAGGTTACGTTGGTTTAGTCAATCAAGCAATGACATGTTACCTGAACAGTCTTCTTCAAGCATTGTATATGACACCAGAATTTCGTAACGCATTGTATAATTGGGAATATGTTGATGGTTCAGAAAAGGATGAAGCCCTAAGTATACCGTACCAATTACAGAAATTATTTCTAAATCTGCAGGTATAGCATTCATCTGTAATTACATTCGTTTAAAATTTGCACATTTCCAGAATAAATAATACGACATGTGTTTTCAAACAGACATCCACAAAGTCTGCAGTGGAGACTACATCTTTAACTAAAAGTTTCGGTTGGGATTCTACTGAAGCATGGCAACAGCATGACATCCAAGAGCTTTGCAGAGTTATGTTCGATGCATTAGAACAGAAATTCAAAAACACAGAACAGGCTGACCTAATCAACAGACTCTATGAAGGTATAAAATAGAACATAAATAATATATAAATTGGGACAATCTCTATAATTTGCCTTCTATTGTTGTTATTAGGAAAGATGATTGATTACGTTAAATGCCTCGAGTGTGGAACAGAAAAATCAAGAGAAGACACATTTCTTGATATCCCATTGCCAGTTAGACCATTTGGAAGTAACGTTGCATACACTTGTGTGGTAATATATTATGTCGCAAAATCTTGAGTATAATTCTATTTACATTTGTATATACATGGAAAAAAAATTGTTTTTATAGGAGGAAGCAATAAGAGCATTTGTGCAGTATGAAATCTTGGAAGGAGCTAATCAGTATCATTGTGAAAAATGCAATAAGAAGTGCGACGCGCATAAAGGATTGAAGTTTACGAAGTTTCCGTATTTATTAACTCTACATCTTAAGCGGTTTGACTTTGATTATAAAACTTTCCACAGGATCAAGCTCAACGATAGGTAGGTTTATTCAGAGAATATATGCTTGATTGGTGAAGATTTGTCTTATTGTAACTTCATGTTTTAACTTTGCTACCGCAGGGTCACGTTCCCAGACATACTGAATTTAAATCCCTTTATTTCATCCACATCGAGTCAAGAGTCTCCAGGTGGTGAAGAAGACATTGGTCTAGGTATCAAATGCGACGATAGCTCCACAACAGATAGTGGTACGTTGGATGATGATTGCATACCATGTGACAACAGTCTCTCCAACAGTAATCACTCGGCTAATCACGATCAAGACGATGATGAAGGTAATATTCTAGAGATAGTTATTTAAGGCAAAAGTATCAATGTGCTGGGCATGCTCATAATTCCAAACATTGTCGTTTTAATCTTTGAATAAGAATAATCAACTTTTTAACAAAGAATTAAGTGAGATCTAAACCATCCAATATACATCGAGACATTTACGTACACATCGAGACGATTTTAAAATTATCAAAACATTTATCCATCTACAGGTATAGATATGAGCAACGGACCGTCAACATCGAATTGCACTGTGCATAATCACGAGAACGAGAAAAATCGTGGTACTTACATGTTGGGAAGAGGTCCTTATCAATATGAACTGTTTTCCATCATGATTCACAGTGGCAGCGCGAGCGGAGGCCATTATTATGCTTACATCAAGGATTTCAGGACGCAAGAATGGCTGTGTTTTAACGATCAGAGCGTAACTCAGGTATTTGAGAAAGAATGTTGAAATAGCTAGATAAGCAGCCGATCGAGCAAACTCACATTTATACTTCTTTTTAATTTTTTTATTCATTTATTTATTTTTTCTTCCCAGATCACTCACGATGACATCCAAAAAACATATGGTGGTGGACCCACAAGAGCATATTACAGTGGTGCATATAGCAGTAGTACCAATGCTTATATGCTCATGTACAGGCAAATCGATCGAGCTCGTAATGCTTTACCTATGCAAGTTCAAGATTTTCCACGACATATCCAGGTATGGCTCGAATAAAAGAAATCTCATGTACATTGGTGCATATTACTTCACACTGTTTATTTTCAGGAATTATTAAAGAAGATGAAGGAGAGCGAGGATAATGACAGAAAAAATCGTGAAAAACAAATGTCAATACCCAGGCTAAAAGTTTATTGTCATCATCCGGTAAAGGGAAAACTGATGGATATCAAGTTATATGTCATGCCCGACACTACTTGGGCCGAGGCGACAGAGCAAGCGTACAAGAAATTCGGCCTTGAAGATGTCTTGAATTTGGATCAGTGTCGTTTAGTTAGTTATGAACATAATATCGATTTAATAGAATGCAGTTACGATGACAGAGAGCAAGAATCTGTGGCTAGTATTTGGCAGAATCAACATCGATTCGATTTGTTGTTAGAAATTCGTCGTAAAGATCAGAAGTTCGAGACATTTTTGCCAGGTGGTAAGTATGCAACTGCATGCGCATGCGTGTCTGTGTGTCGTGCATTAATTATACGTAGTCACAATTGAAATTAACAATGAATTTTTGATTGTCTCGTAGGAGTTGCAACGAAGGTATTTGTCATAGACGTAGCTAGAGAGGAGGTAATTGACGGTCCGATCAATATCCGAGGTTTATTGTCGCAAAGTGTTAAAGAGTATAAACAAATCGTAGGAAAAGTTATTAATATGGATCCTAAACAGATGAAAGTAATATTACCAAAGTATCCAGACTCATACGATCTCGTGGAAAACGATGATAGCGATCTTCAGACTGAAGGATTTTATAACGCGAAAAAAGTATTCGTATTAACGATGAGCGATACTGATAATAACAAACCTCTTCAAGAATCGACAGTGTACAAAATAATAAAGAACTTCAAGTACGTTATTTCCCTGCATATTCAGTTGCCAGATATCAGCAAAGGTAAGTCACTTGTGTTACCTACATGGATACGTAATTGCGCAATATTACGACAATTACTAAATTATAAATTTGTACGTTTTCTTCTTTTTCTCTTTTTTTTTCTTTTTTAATATAGAAGCGTTGGAAGAATCGAATATCCCGTCGTTGGAGGATAAATCCGAGGAAAAAGAGAAGCCCATCAGCAATGGCTTGTCCAAATTGGGTGTTACTGAATCACATTGGGATATTAATTCGAAGTACAATGAAAACTCAAAAAATTGCGCACGTAGCAACGAGGACACTACCGTACGGAACATAAGTCCGCAGTTAGGAGAAGCTGAGGAATGGAATACTCCCGAGCAGAGCAACAGCGAAGATAGTAGTCTTAGCGATAGCGACAAAACGTTGGTTGGCGACGCACCGGAGGACGACGATCCCCGACCGCCAACTTCATGGGACCGTCGCTTTAAGATCTCGAAGCAATTCGAAATAGAAAACTGGGACATCGATGACGATTCTGATTACTATTTCAGAGCGACATACATAAATAGCACTCAAAAACGTATGCCGTTAGATTCGCGCCTTTTCTCACTGCGACTATGATGTGTTGCTTAATGTTTTGATTCGATGTTCTCTTCTTGTTTTGCAGTACTTAAAGTATTAGTGGACAAAAGAATGAGATTAAGCACCTTAAAGAAAGAACTGGAGCCATTCGTAGGTGTATCTGTAGAATACTTCAAAGTTTTTCGTTTATCAAATGATACCGGTGAATCGGAATGTAGCTGCCTGACGGAACAACTAAACTCTTACGGCGACGGTGAAAAACTTAACATAAAACTTGGACGAGCCTTGCGTAGCGGAGAATTCAAAGTGAAATTATACCAGTTACTGATTGACTCCATTGAGGTACGTACGATAAATATCGTTTGTTCATATTTTTATACATACAAAATATATATCAGACCAACAGTTTTTATTTAACGTGATTGCTATTTTTATTTATCAGCCTTATAAGTTTTTGTGCGAATGGATTGTTTCGAAAGATATGACGGTCGGGCAAGCGAAGAAAGAGATATTGGCAGAAATAAAGAGAAAATATGACATCGACATACCATATGAAAGATGCCGGCTTAGGAAAAAATATTACAAAACAGCCTCGAAAGTGTTCTTGGACGACCAGAAGTTCGAAGATCTTCGATCACATTCACAATTCGAAATGATTATTCAAGAACTACCTGATAAAGAAACGGTTACGGATACCAATCAGATTGTTCTGTTTGTCAGAAGGTGGTTACCAGCAAAGTTAGAGTTGGAGCAGTTCCAAGAGATAGTTTTGGAGGATAGAACCACCGAAGAATTAAGGAAGAAAGTAAGTCGTACGCTGGGAAACGCACACTATTTCTGAATGGAAAGATTGAAAAAAAATAATATACAGGAATTATTTTTCATTAACTCCTTTGTGTTCTCAGCTCTCCTCGATATCAAATATTCCGGAAGAATTTATTACTATAGCGAAGGGGAAAGGTACTTTTCCATGCGACAACTCTGTGTTACGAATCCAAAACGAGCATGATTGGAGCGAACATCACGATAGTTTGTCTTTCAATTTTGAAGATGGCGCAGTCTTCTTATATAGGTATCTATTATTATTTATAACGTACACTATCGAATTTTGTACCCGCTAATGGTCATTCTAATCAGCACTGGTATCTAAATTTTCAGGGATAATAGGGAAAATCCGAAACGATTAAATCCCGACGAAGTAATGGAGATTGCTTTTAAAGAGAATTCACGTTTAACGCCGCTTTCTACTACTTCGAGTTACAGTCCACGCCGAGAGAGAGCACTTAAAATATATTTGGATACCAAATGATCGTCCATAGAGAGAGAGCACGCATCTCCTAAAAATCAGTTGCTAAATAGGCAAGTGTGCGAACACAAAACATTTGCACACGAAATGTTTGTACGTTGGGTATTTGTGAAATCAAAATTTCACCAAATGCCGAGTGTTTTGTGTTCCAGTGTGTCTTCAGCATTTCGAAGCTTCCGCGTTCCTAAAAGTTTTCGGCTTTTTGTAATTATTAAACTTTTGAAATTGTTTGGATTCGTGAAATATATAGTAACACGTAATTTCTTTTTGGGATCTCGGTTATCATATCCGGTATTGAGATTTCTAGAACTTATATGGAGTGTAAAATACTTGATATTATCCGGTCTGTTAAGTCAGTTTTCCATCTATACGAAATCCAACTAGAGCACAATTGTCGATAAAAAACGAAACTGAGAGGTGGCAGTGAAGAAATTTCTTGATACACACTCGACGAGAGTTCATATGCGAGTTATTGACTTCTCAGTTCCTTGCATAACAACGTAACTTGAATTTCCGTTACTTCCTTATTTTGGCGAATCGGCTCGATTTCTCGCTGTAGACAGTTTTTATATATACCTCTCTATATACTTGTTAAAATGAGAATATAAGGCATTAATCTTTTTGTCAGAAGGCTCATGTACGTCTAGTGTCAAAAGGCACAACAGTTTAAACATACTTTCGTCATCAATACTTTTGTTGTCACTTGTCTCTGGTATAATGATGTTTATTAGCCCTTTTAATGCCAAATTACGGATGATATTCTTCTAGTTTGTCAGGACTTATTTATTTTTTTTTCTTTCTCTCTTTTTTTTTATTTTTTTTTTCCCGGGAGGCTTCAATAATTTTTATCAATATTTTCTGAATTCAATCATGTGTGCATTAACAGCATTAACTCAGCTTGCATGAAAACCTATACAAATGTGATTAATTTTTTAATAACAGATATATTAGTAATATATTGATCATCTCTTAATTAATCTTTTAATTAGTCTTTTAATTAAGATTTGTTACTCATTAATATATGAACGTTCAAGGACAATAGTACGATCATTTCACAGAGAGAAATCTTAAGTGAAATGAGATACTAAATTTCTTCTCGCCATGTTACTGATTTATAAATCTGAAAAGCATATCATTGTCGGGTTAATTCATTCACTCTTATATTTATATTTGATATTAGTTTTATTTCATGATTTATATGTATCATCACATTGCGTTTATGAACAAATTATAAAAATATGATCGATATTATATATTTCAAAAGATATTAATAATTTTTAAACTTAATTGAAGTTTTCCTTTTTTGTATAATTTGATTGTAAATAATATATCATATTAATGTTATAACTTTTTTAAATTTATCGCGCGGAAATATGTGAACTATATTTTTATGTTTTATGTTACACGTGGAATAAAGGGAATATAGGGAAATGTTAGTTTGCATTTACTAGAAGTTTAATTTAAAATAACTTTCGCTCTTCTTTACTGCAGGAAACGTGGCATTGGAAGGGTTAAGAAACACAAATTATACATTTTCCATACATATCGTTTTAATTAAATCGCTTTAGTGGCAACAAATGTGTAGCATGACAACAGAATGAAAGTGATTTCTTCAAGGAAAAAAAATTTACAAAAATTTTCCGCATATTTTGCATTATTTTTAGAACGATGTTGGCTGTTATACGGCAATTAATTATGTCTTTGTAATGTTTAGCATAGATTTAACGTATATTTATTGCATATTTGTTATTGCGAAATATTAGTTTTCAGATTACATTGTCATTACCGGGTACGCATCCATTACATTACATAGTAACAGCCCAAATGAACAAAATAAGAGAATGTGTAAGATATGATTTGTACTAGTGAAATTTATATTGGAATAAGTTGTAATACAGAGTTAGTGGGAAAATTGAAAATTAATAGGCCTGTTCGTTTTGTCTGCACTGCTAAATTGGTGCAACAAGTTGAAGTGAAAAAACTTATACTTTGTCTCACTTTAACTTAATGCACCAGTTCAGCAATGCAGACAAAACGAACAGGCCTAATATAGCACCTGCTTGAACACACTATTCTCGAAGAAATATTCAAGCTTTCGATTTTATCCATAACTGGATGCATGTCGGATATTTGATTAAAATTTAAAACGTTACGTACGCGAGTAACGTTTAAGGAAATATATTGAGTGTTTCTTAATGATATATTAATCAGTTTCGAAGGTCGGCGGTATTGAAATACTATTACGAGCTCGTCTCATATTTTGTGCAGTATTTACTTGTTTTTGTCACAATTACAGAGAGAAGATATAAATGGAAATATTCCTAATTTAAAAATTGAATGTTCATTGTGCTTTAGCTGCCAATATTTATCTGCTTAAAACCTGCTTTCACATGGCATTCTGTTAATTTTTTTCTTTCCTTTTTCTTTTTTCTTTCTTTTTTAAGATGAAAGATTAATAAACTGGACCAAGTGGTAACTTAATAGTTCTATTTGTTGCATCTTTATTTATTTTGTTATCCTCTATTAACGTTTTATTTATCATCCGAGCTAAGCTTTAAACATAGTTTGATCATTGTTTCTTTTTTTTTTTATAATCATACTGAGAATGAGAAAGAATATCGACGCTGTGTCCTTTTAGCAGGATAGATAATAATAAATTTAAGAGACAGTGAAATACATTTGATCCTTTTTGTGGATAAGTTAATTGTAAAATTATGGAATATATCTCTATTGACATGAGTATGGATTGTAATTTAAAATTCTCCAATCACCGACGATGAAAGGTTATTCTCTGTATAATACACTGAAGTTATGAAACAAATTATATTTATAATTATTAACAATGAAATACTGAAATGTCTTAATTTATTGTTTGGATATATGATTACCTGCATTATTCCCTCTTATCCTTATCTACTTATTAGGTATGTGACATGTTACAATCTGTAACAATTGTTTTGCGCAAAAATTGGAAGGTTATAGATTACAAAAGAAATTGGAAGGTTATAGATTACAAAAGAATGTTAACTAATTCTTTCTCTCTTCTCACAAGGAAATACAATAGTAACAACCATAAAATACACATTTCTTAATGCTTATTGATTAAATATAACTAACTACTTCAACAGGTATCTCATTTTAACTGCTTTGTAGATGTTTTACACATACTATATGTTATATATATATATATATATATATATATATACACATACACACATATATATATATACATACACACACATATATATATATACATACATATATATATATATATAGGATGCCTTGATTTTTACAAAAAATTTCATAAATTCTATCAATATAGGAACAAAATTTGTTTGTTTTGTTTGTTAAAATAACATTGAAGTCTCTATATAGTGTATTTATCAAGGTTTATGTTAATTATGTCAAAACGTGTTTAGCAACAAGATTGCAACTGTTGTCTACGCAAATGATTGTCTAACTGGGCTAACTGTTGAAGAAAACCATTATTTGGATGGACATCCCGATTTTCACGGATCATTCGCAAGGCATTAACTGCTAACATGTTCTTTCTTATCATTAAATATGCAAGGACACAGGTGGCACTACGAGATACACCTTGCATGCAATGCACAAAAGCTTTACCTGAGAGAAAGCATATTATCAGTTTGTATACAAATATTGTGTTACAATTGAATATAGAAAATAAATATAGTTAAATTACCTCCTGTGGATATTGCTTCATGAATAAAATCTGCTACTGTATAAAAATATTTACTAATATCTGCAGTAGGTAAATCTGTAACTGGAATACCATAATACTTGATTGCTGTATCTGCATAATAATTACTATCTGTATTGACAAATCCATATCTCTTTCCCTCAGCAGCATTCAATAAGTGTGTTACACCCAACATTTCGAGATATTTCTTATTCTTTGCTGTCTCACTGTACAAGGAAGAAACCACTAAGAATAGTTGTATCTCATTATTAATTTCTCTCAGTCTTTTTGTATTTTTGTACTCACCCATTGCCAATAAATATTCCAGGATATACTTCATCACAATCAATTCTTTGTTGAGCTCGAAAATATTGTAAATCATCAATATTAGGATCAAATCCTGGTAAAGGTTTGAATTCTGTTTTTGTTTCGTACAGAACACATATTAACTCAGCTTCTGTGGTTTCTCCACCTGGTAATGGTTGCTTAAAATCCTTGACATATAAAATAAATATCAATATATGACAAAATGATAAGGAACAATAAGTCCATAAAAATTCATAAATTGTAAATAAGTTACAATTTTAAACCTATTGTTTCGGCATTGATGTTTCAATATCAAAAGAAGCATATATTTTTATACTTCAGAGAATCAATACATCCTGGGTTATATGTAATAGGTACATGAAAGCTTCTATATAATTTTAGCATTATATATAATTAAACATTTATCGATAGCTTTGCATCACTGTTTTAAAGGAGAGTTTATAAAAACATTAAGAAAATTTCTTACCCGGTCGTTGTCTCGCCACGTGCGCCTCATCGTGTAAACCACAGTAAACTGTGATCTTCAGCACGTAAAATATAACAATGTCGCGTTCAAAATTTATTTTTACATTAATATTGCGAAATCCTGTAGGTGAGCTAAATAAAACTTATGTGCGCGTCACAAATGATGGGTGCGGTCCGTTTGATGCTTCTATAAGTTTCGAAATATTTCTTTTATACAGTTACAATTAGGATAGTCAAATTTAAATAATGATAAAGAATTTTAATTTTGCTTGCCCGGGAATACAGTACAAGGATTATAAATATAATAACTCTTATTTATTTATTATTTGCGTTTAAAAATAACAGGTCTAAAGATTGAGGCTATGTTTCAAAATTCACTGCCAGTACTGAAAATACATAGTTTGTGTCACGTATATTATAGATTTTCAGTGCTGGCAGTGAATATTGGAACACAGTCTGAATAACTCATGGGGTGCGTTCCGTTTCACGCATATGCGCGCATTTATCTATAGTTTATGTCACGTATACTACAAAAAAATGCGCGCACATGCGTGAAACGGAATGCACTCTTGGTCTGTTCTTTTTAGCTGCACTGCGGAACTAGTGCAATAAGTTAGAATGAGACAACTATATTTTTCCTCACTTTAATTTATTGCATCAGTTCAGTAGTGCAGCTAAAAAGAACAGACCACTTTATTTTTAAGGGTCTATACTATAAACTAAGGCCCTTTGCCAATACCAAGCAACAAACAATAAGAATAAAAATAGACCAATCACAATCAACTATTACAAAAATAATCTATTGCCTGTTGCCTGTGGCATTATGCAAGGGGCTTAATGGTCTATGCTTTTCAGCTGCACTGCGGAACTAGTGCAATAAGTTAGAATGAGACAACTATATTTTTTCTCACTTTAACTTATTGCACCAGTTCAGTAGTGCAGCTAAAAAACAGACCAATTGTAAAGCCCTAAACACAATGCCAGGCAACAGGCAATAAGAATAAAAATAGACCAATCACAATCGACTATTACAAGAATAATCTATTGTGATTGGTCTATTTTTATTCTTATTGCCTGTTGCCTGGCATTGTGTTTAGAGCTTAAAGTCTGTGCAGTGTGGTCTACAATGGGTGCATTCAGTACTACAACCGCTCACTGAGCGCTAAGTGAGCTCTTGCATTTGATTGGTATATACCTTTAGATTTAAAAATATACACCAATCAGATGCAAGAGCTCATTTAGCGCTCAGTGAGCGGTTGTAGTACTGAATGCTCCCATTGTAGACCACGCTTTACAGCTATTGTAGACGAGCCTTTATAATTTTTTGCTCTTTTTTTTTTTTACAGAGAATCATAATTTTAACTTTCCATACTTCATATCGACAGACATTAGATATATATGTATATTTCTTTTTTTTTCTTTTCTTCTTTCAATAAAAGATTTATGATAAAATCACTATTTTAAACATCTATAATGCATCCGCACAACCAAGTTACCACATTCACCTATGATACCAAACATTTTAATTTCATTGTTAAATCGCACAAAGAAATTGAGGCCCCATTTGATAATGTTTTACGACGGAAATGGAAACAGGCTGAAGAAGCCAAGATCTTCCGATATATTTTAAACATAAAGGACAGTAAAACATTAAAAGGAAGATACAGGTTTCTGGCACAGGTATGCTTACCCATATGTATGAAGAAGAGAATAGGTAACGTTTTTTCATTGATAACGCATAACGCAATAATAATTTTAGTTAAATCCGCAACGAGCATTGTGCAGACGTGCGCCACAATTGATCACATCAATGTCGCAGCCTTTCAATTCCACAGCCTTTAATTTCACTAAATTAAAGCAACCAGAGATATTACTTGACATAGGAAATGGCGATGGCAATGACATAGTTGCAATTAATACAAGCCCCTTGGAACAGTGTCATTGTTTACTTCTAACAGAACGCTTAAAATGTTTGCCTCAAAATATGACAGAGTATAGTCTGCGCAAAGCGATAGAATTGTGTCTCTTAAGCAATTCATGGTAACTGTAATGTCAATTAAACACGATGTTAAAGGTATATTTTAATTTTTTATTTGTTTGTTTTTTAGTTTTCTCAGGGTTATCTTCAATAGTTTATGTGCTCAGGCGTCTGTTAATCATTTACATTGGCATTTATATTATTTGACACATGAGATGCTTCTTGAATATATTGTAAGTAATTTTATAGTTAACAGTAGACTATATTGCCACCTATTTGCATTGCATCATTGGGTGTTATTTTTTACCTCAGGATATTTGCAATTATGCATATGGAGTATATTTATTGGTAGATTATCCAGCAAAGGGACTATGTATAAAATTGTCCAGCTTTGAAAATATTGGGGATTTTATATCTCGAGCATTTCTCGTAGTGAATTACTTACAGTTGCAACAAATAGCACATAACGTATATATCACACGAGCGAAATTAAAACCAAATGATGAATTATACAGTGACTTACGAATTTATGTTTGGGCTAGAAAGTCATGTGTTGGTATCAAAGATACAATTGCATTTATGCCAGCAGTATGCGAACTTTTTGGGCATTTATCAATTAAAGGTAAGAGTGAAAACCATAATTAGTATATTTCTTGGATATAATTGTCTATAGTTATATACGTAATTTTAGATGAGAATGTATATGACAATCTGAAAGAGAATGATGTGGTTGATCTTCTTAGTGATATCACGGACGAGTCTTTTTTACTAGTCAAAGATAAGCTTCTATATTTTTTAAAGGAACACTTAGGAAAGGAAATATCAGAAAGTTCCAAAGAATGGTAATAATAAATCGTAATCCTCTAAATCCAATCCTCTAGTGTTCACATTACTTTCTTTGAATTTATCTAAAATTTATCAAGATAAATTCTATATTTTTTAATAGCGTTTTTTATTTTTGTTATTAATTTTTATTAATATGTAACCATTATTCGTTTATATTTTTGCGGTTAGTATCGATTCTGATTCGGGTCGAAATTAATCGAGTTCGAGTAATCGGACTCGATTGTATGCGTAGGTCGTAGCAGCGATTGCCGGCAGAAAGTATCGATAAGTGATAACAACAGACGCTCAATGTGACTGAGATAATAAGAAAATGCCGATATCTTCCCTCGTGCAAAGATTTTTAGAAGTAGATTTTGCAGGTTTTCGTGAATGAATACGTTATGAACAGTAGCAATAGTATGGAAATTGTCTCTAAAACTATCGTGAGTATTACATGTATTAGATATATTAGGCGAAATTTAATTGCTTGCTGGTGTGATAGGTTAAGAAAAAAAGGTTATATTTATTAAACTGATTTTGTGTTTTAGCTTTCTTTGATTTGCGGTTTCTCGGGCCGATTAACCACAAAAATCATGTTTTTTAAACCAAAATTTATACCAAAAATAAATTTGTAGTATATACTTTACTTTCGTTATTTAAATATCTTTCTCACATGGTCACAAGTTTTTATGTAAAGAAATTATAAGTTAAGTGAGATTGAAATATACAAGAAACGTTTCTCGGTTTCTCTTAATAACAGCTACTTGTGTTTTTACATTTTGTTAATAAAAAATATACTTTTTGACCTTCATTTAATGTTCTATCTCATATATATATGTGTATATATACACATACATATTCATAAGTATGTTTCAAGATATAGTATATTTCTTTTAGGATCACTTTTACCAAGCTGTGGTTAATTAATTGTTTTAGTAACATTACAGGATTTCAGAAATTGTTTTGTTTCTCATTTGCTATTTCTTCTCAGTGTGGTTTCAGTTAGAATTCTGCAAGGTTACTAAAATAGTTAACTGTAGCTTGATAAAATTGACTCTTAGACTTTTTATATTGCTATGTCATACAAGAAATTAATTAACAATATGTGACCAGTAACTAATTATAAAATTTTAGGATCAAGTATTACAGCCAGAAAAAGTGACTGAATCACTTTTACTGATGAAACAGAAGATATATAAGACAGAGTAAGTATATTTTGTGCTGTTTAATATATTTAAAAAAAATTTTTAATATTTTATGTAGAAACACATATACAGGGTGTTTGGTAACTCATGTAACCATAGCCAATGGCAGCATAGAACTGAGTAAAACAAACAAAAGTTCCATACTATTTTGCGATATTCGTAATAATTATCGAGGTGTTAATTATAGAAATCTGATGAATGAGCGTGCATCGAAAGGAATGATTGGAAGAGCATTACAGCCACTCGGGTTACAGCACAGTCCAGTTGATCCAGTAACTGTTGCCAGCACGCAGCAAGATGTAGGAGCAGCGAAATAAGATTAGCCGAATAGCAACATATTGTTCTTCTTTTTGGTAATTATTGTGAATATCGCAAAATGGTATGGGAATTTTGTGTTTATCTCAATCATTTCTATGCCTCTATTGGCTATGGCTATAGGAATTACCAAGTACCCTGTATATTTGAATCATCAGTCAAGATCAATATACTTAATACAATATTGCTGAAAATATTGATAAAAAAATTTGTTGATACTTTCATTATGAAGACAAAATTTATATATGTTTCAGCAATTTAATAAAACTATATACAGATAAAATAAAAGAAGCTGATCGTTTAAAATTAGATTTGGAGACTACAAAGAAGAATAATAATCATATGACAGCCAATTATAGATCTGTTATAGATAAGACAAGAGAGTTAGAACTTGTAAGTGATAAAATATATTTTTACATTAACTTAAATTATTAACTAAATTAATATATTCTTAAATTATTTATTATATTAATATATTATATAATATTATATATATAATAATATATTTTTAAATTATTAGTAAGAATAAATTTGTAGCATGAAATAATGTATATATAAAATTATATTAAATTTATATTAACTTATAAATTTACTTATCCAGCAGAATTGTGTTAACAATATAATATTTGATTGTAGAATAATACAGAGGTTAAACAGGAAAATAATCAGTTACAAAAGAAGATAAAAGAATATAAATTACTTTTAGCTACAGATGAAAAACAAGTAAAAGAATTAACAGCTAAAATGAAAGAAATGGAAGACACACACTCTACTGAAATTCTAAAGAATGACTTGCAAAAAGCTTCCTTAGAAGGTACTAACTTTGGTTTTCTTTATTGTATACCATTTGATTGATACATAAAGAACAAAATTAAACTTATTTATTTGCATCTTTAATCAGAAGATTTATTTTTCCTTTACAGATAAAATAAAAGAGTTGGAGCATCAGTTAAAAATGTCGAAGCTAGAAAACGAAAAACAAAAGACTAATACTGTCACCACAGGTAATGAGTCAAATATAGATAAGTGTGGAATATCACAAGCATAATTCCTTATTATTGCATTTACTGTGTGTTTACACTTGTAGGAATTAAATCAACTGCAGACGTTGGTATCAATGTGTCATTGAGTGCTGTCGAGTTAAAGAAAAAATCTGAGGTACAAGAAAAGAACGTTATGACCGACGAATTTTATCCTTTGGATGATGATCCATATCCGATTTTTTGTTCAAAGTGCAATGCTTATATGTACCCACCACCTGTTGAACAAATTTGTCAAATAATGAGTGTGTGTCCAGATTTAATTGAGCCAATTTTTTCGCCAAGGGCAATTTCTCCATTATCTCTGCTTCACGGTAAGTAAATACATCAATTATCACAGCTTGTTGGTCGTCTGCAATTATGATTCATTGCATTTGTCAAATAAGAAGCAAGTTGCGTCATGTTGATAGAAGTTAACGTGATATATTCTTGTTGATTTATAAAATTCCTTTGTATTGTATATATTTTTATTACATTAATTTTTTCATATTTTTGATTCTTACGTTTTAGACAAAGAACCTGAATATTCAGATAAAAATGTCCAATATAAAGAAATAAAACATTTAAATAAAAATATTCCAGATAAAGAATCAGAACATTTCAATAAAAATGTCCCGAATAGCAATCCAGGACATTCAGATAGAAATATTCCAAATAAAAGAACCGACTCTAAAGAATTGGAACATTTACACGGAAACGAAATGGCATCTACTTTTAAAGTATCTTCGTCACATCTGGAGACTCCATGTTACAATTCAGTGAATGGCACATATAATTTTAAACTTGAATCGAAAAATTCATCTGCTTTGGAGCAAGACTATGCAAATGTACAGTTTAAGAACGAAGTTCACACAAAATATTGCAAACCGATTGCAATGAATCTATCCAATGATCAGGATTTAATAGCTAAACATAATTCGTCTATTAACAATATGGAAAAAACTATCCGAGTGATGAAACGTAAATTGAAGCAGTTGCAAAAGAAGAAGAAAAAGGAAAATAAACAAAATTGTTGTCATCATAATGCTACAAGTTGTAACAATGTTACTGCTACTACTGCTAGTTTACTAAACCCGGATTTACTAGTCAGCGTTTGTCAGAGTATGATAAAGTTCTGTGCTAATAAAAAAAAAGTACGTAATACAAACGAAGATGAAAAAAACAAGCGGGAAATTAAATCGAAAAAATATAAACATAAGATGAAAAGGATGAAGCTAAAACGATTAAATAAAATGAAAGATAAGTCTTCATGGAAAGTTGAGCACCTTCATGAAATATTTTTACAAGATACAGTTAACACTGATTCTGAAAAAGATTTAAACGTAGACATTAATGAGTCTGGTCTATCAAACCAGAATTTCTTAAACCATTCGACGGAAGTGAAGTCTATTGGAGAAACAGAATATACTGCAGAAATGGAATGTACTACAGAAGGAGAATCTACAGAAATGGAATATACTACAGAAACAAAGTCTGCAAACATAGAATGTATTGCAGAAAGAGGATCTGCAGAAATGGAATGTGCTGCAAAAACGGGATCTGCAAAAATGAAGTTTGCAGAAGTGGAATATACTGAAAAAATAGAATCTGCAGAAGTGAAATATACTGGAAAAATAGATTCTGCAGAAGTGGAATATACTGCAGAAATGGAATCTGCTGCAATAACAAAGTCTATTCCAAAAATAAAGCCTGTTGCAGATGTGGAGTCTGATGCAAAAGTGACGCCTGTACATGCAGACTCTGATGCAAAAGCAATGTCTGTTACAGGTGTGGAATCTAATGCAAAAGTGATGCCTGTTGCAGACATGGAGGCTCATGTAAAAGTGACGCATGTTGCACATGCAGGCTCTGATGCAAAAGCGATGCCTCCTGTTGCAGACATAGAATCCATTGTAAACAATCCTATGATATTACATTCAGACGTTGATGAGATATACGTAAGCAATTCATTAAGTACAGATAATGTAGAATCTGTGACTCTAAATCCACATGATTCGAATCATCATACAGTAACCAAAACGATGCTTTCACGATCTCACAGTGAAAGTTCTAGTAGTTATTCCAATGGTAATGTTATTGGTAAGATCACAATAGGCAGCAATTTTAAAAATAAGAGAAAAACTGTTAATCGTCTGTTAAAAAAAGTTAAAAATTTGAAGAGAAAAACGCAAATGAATTCAGTTATACTTCCAAATAAGCATTTGAAGGTTGAGCCCAGCTCCAACGATACCTCCGAATTTTATAATTCTATGAAGAAACGACGGATTGCGCATACTCCAAAAGCCTCGGCTTCTCCACCTGGCACCGTTGAGAAGAATTCCACTGACCTTACGATAGGAAGTATAATTGAACCTGAAGTATTTACAAACTTCTCATCAAATATGCAAACACCGAAAGATGATACACCGATTAAAACACAAAAGAAGAGAGGAAAGAACATTAAAAACAACCTCGTCGAATCCATACGAGAGCATATACCCAATAAGAAACTGTTGACGAAGAAAACTTTACACATCACGAAGACTGAAGATTCTTCTCTTCATAACGACAATGTTACTCTTTTTGATAATAATATCGAACAACTATTGGCATCATTTAGTCATCATTTCAGTCCTGATGACACTTTAGTTAGTTCTAATACTGTCAACGGGATTATGTCACCGTCTAAGGAATCCACATCATCAAACGCTCTCTGTAAAGATTCGAAAGACTACGAGCTTACTGAAGATTTACATACAAATACAACCGAGGTCACGGGCAATATATCGCCACCCGTTAAGTTACACTCTACAGCTACATTAAAATCTTTTACATATAAGAATTGTGACTATAAAAGCGACATGACGAAGGGCACAACCGACGAAGCTTCGGAGAATCGAAGTACTGAAGGACAATCGTCAGATGTAGAAGTTCGAGAAGATGATTTATCGGTTACGGACGAAGAGAATTGTACGACAAGTAAAGAGCACGATGAACAGAATGTTGTCGGGAGCGTCGAAGCACACGATACTAATAACAAGTCTGTAAAGAAGAAATATTTACATTCATCCTTGTTGAAAAGGAGGAACATCGTTAAGAGTAGCTTAGATGATAATGCGAAAGAATCTTACGACGAAATAAATATGAAGATGAGGGAGGAGTGTGTTAATAACGAAGAAACTAGAATATTAGGTCTCGATATGAGGTCCGAGATGATAGATAAGTGCATAGAACGCATCTATGGTAATAATGACGACGATGAGACCGACGATAATGATTTTAATTGTAAAAAATATATGGAGGAGCAGGATGATAATGTCATAGATAATGATGTTAAGATGTCTTATGATGACGTTGGGGACAATAATAACAAAGATAGTGATAATGACAAAGACCACGAGGATGATCAAGATGAGGATGACCAAAGTCTAACGCCAATAAATCAACTAAGGAGATACGTTAACAAAAATCTCAAGAGAAACGTAAAAAGGTTAACATACAAAGAAAGGAAGAAAGCGATTAAAATTGTTACAATTGCAGGTAGTTAAAGGATCGAACGCGAATTGCAGTTTTTATTACACGAACCACGAAAATTAAAATGTATCGCGCTACATTGTATTACATTTCAGGTAAATTTGTAAAGAAACAATTGATGAGGCTAATGCAAAGTAATTGGGAGGATTCGATACATTGCGGCATCGTCGATAAATTACGTAGGATTTGTGGGCCTAATCTCATAGCTAAGTTAGTGCAATGTTTTTCGCAATCTATCCTTATACATATATTCAATAAGTACAATCCTCACGTATTTAAACACTTGGGACGAAAATATGCGTAAGATACTTTTATATACCCGAATTATACGAACTTGGTGAATTAAACACGTATCTCTTGATTTTTCTAGATGTATAGTTGAATTCTTATCGGAGTATAGTGAATATAATCGTGTTCTCGACAAATCGTTCACTCCTCCAGCGCCTCTCATGTCGAGGTACGAACAGAAAATCATGATGCTCTTGATCGACTTGGAGCGGTCGAAACCAACAGTTATTGCTTCCGTGCGGACTGCTATTCAGTATAAGCTGTTTCAACTTAGCGGTAAATTGAGGGTGTGTATATTGTGGATTTTATTAATCGTGTCGAAAAAGAAAGAGAGCGAGAGAAAGGAAATCGTTAACGTTTCTGCGTCTACGCAGTTTTCAGAAGTCGAGTCATTCACAAGGATATACGTTGTCCTGGCGCGTCTGCAGAATGATAGAGAAGCCGTACGCATCATGTGCTGCGACGCTCTTTATTGCATGGGCTATCATGCCATCAACGTTTTGTACACGGCATTGACGAGCTGGCCCGAAATTTTTCCACACGCCGATGCTCACAAAGGTATACACTTGACGATATTTGTTTCATTTCGATGATTCATGAGAATATGCCCGGGAGTCAATGTACTTCGAATTCGTACGAAAGTATAGGATCAGGCAAAAATTTTGGTTCGATTTTCAAATAGATTTCATCCGATGGGACCAAATCATTCATCACAGTACTGAGCACAAGCGACGTAATTTCTTACAATTTTTCATCAACTATCCAATAATCTTAACTGTCCAATCACACTTCTCTTCTATCGTGCAAAGTAACCAGTTAGCTGTCAGAAAATCGAGCCGAACAATTTTGGCTAGATGAACAAATAGAAATGAAGAAAAATTGTATCGCAATCTTGTGTAGGATTTTTGCCAAGGTGCATAGCTTTCCTCATCTCGCAATCGAGCGACAATACTTACCAGAAGTCACAGCCATTAAGGATGTTAATGTCGAAATATTACGGGTACACTGAACAAATAAAAGTCGAAGATTTCGCCGACGAGCTTATGACTGCTTTTGCGGGTAAGTTTATTTTCTCCGCGTTGTTTATCTGCGTAGTATAATAATCGCAAATTGTATCTCGCAGATAAAAAGGAGGATGGTTTAAACACAGCCATTATACTTCTCGCGAAAAGAAATGGATCAACCTGGACGTACGATAATATTATTAAGACCCCATTATTGCCAATGATTATCTGCCAGAGGTATCTCTGCATGTATAATGCATTTTCTCTGCTAGGTACGTTCATCTTTCATCTATCATATCGGACGTTTATTTCTTTTCGTATATTATATTGATAATTGGATATTTATAGGAAAACTCATGCGTGCGTTTCCACTAAAGAGCAAAGACACTATTGTACAAGATATGAGCAATCAACTCGCGGATCTTCTTGCTTCTGACGAATGTAACGTATTCGTTTTCTGTGAAAAGAAATGATTCTCATTCAAGATATTCAATCATAACTTATCTCTCTTGGAAATAGTTCCAGGTGACGTACAACAAGGCATAGCGTCCGCGTTGCTCAGTCTCGCCAGACAGGAATTTCACAAAGTTACAATAGCTGTGATGAAATGGACACCGAAGAAAACTTTAAGACCGAGTATTATTGCGCAAATAGATGCACATATAAAGAAGCGTACTCCAAAATTTTGGAAGATGTATATACAGAAAGAATTGTTCGAGATATATCCAAAATAAAATATAGTATTCTAATTGTGTGTCTAAAGTGACAGCTACAACACAAAACAAACATGAAACAAGTATTCTAGATCTTATCGTTATATTTTGTAGTATATTCGAGCTCTTTACGGATATATGTTTAAAGTATTCCAATACAAAATTTACCTTACGAAAGGTTTCGATATCTATATTTGATTTCATATTCTTTATATGTGATTTCATGTTCTTTAGAAGTTTGGAAGTTTTTCACAAGTGAACGACGTGTGTAAGTTTTACTAATCACGCGATATTTCAACGAAATGATAATATTTAGGAGCTCAACTCGAGTTTGTAAATATACATTGAACTTGATGCCATTTGCTCACTGCAGCATTGTAACCTGTCCTTGAACTAATTAGACAAAAAGTGCAGTGAGAGACAAAGTGAGCCGCATTTAGGACAATGCGCGCTTTCTAAGACTGTGATGAATATTAAATCGTAAGTAGGAATTATATCTATTTTTAAGTATTATTTGCATGTACCATGAGCGTACATGACTCGTTGCTTGAAATAAATATTAGTATATTAAGGCACATAGTATGTGATAGGCAATGTGCGCGCGCGTCCAGCGATATATATGATACTTAAAGATTTCGAAACAAGATTACAGGTTTTTATTTTTTTAATATAATAATAATAAAAGTAATCATAATAGTAATAATATTAATAATGATAATAGATAATATAATAATAATAGATAATATTCAACATATCGTAAGCTTCCATCCGCAGAGCACGCTAAGTTAATACATGTACATGGTTTCTTTACAAAAATAATAACAATGTTTCGATGTAACATTGCCGATCGGTGACATCTTTTTTTTTTTCTTGTCGTTTTTAGCTAATACGCCATTTAGCACTTTCCTTTGGATCAATTCCTATTTTTCTCCCTTCCTTCTTTCTCTTCCTCCGTTTCCCAAGCACGCGCGTGCGTTACACGCACGCTTGCTCTCACCTCTAAACAATTAATCGTTCCAGTTAATTGATGTTGTCTTTGGTACATTAACAACGGACAGCATACTATTGAATAACGGTTTGGTATGTCGGACGGGGTACCCACCATCCGCCGTCGTAAAGTGCGCGCGCGCGCGAAGATGCTCGCGAGAAAACTGAACTCGAAGAAGATTGCACGAGGATTGTCCATTTCGGTCGCGGGGTATTCGATCGTAAGATTGAAAAAAAAAAACAAAGAAAAGGACCCGAAGTGCATATTTTCGGAAAATTCGCAATTCGCATACGTAGTCTCGAGCAGAATTCAGCAAAGTGGTCGACGTGTGTACTCGTGTGTGCGGTAGAATGACGGAATAATCAACAGATGTACAAAGTTATTGATGAATAAGATTATCGCTTTAATATAAACCAAGAGAGACACAACTAATCGGTGTTAATTAACGTAAGAAATATTACACATTGCTATTGCAGATTGTGAATCGTGAGATAACACTTCGGCAAAATAGAGACTACGCTTTGCTCGATGTTTTATCATCTTCCCTTCTCCCTCTCCCCTCTCTCTCTCTCTCTTTCTCTCGGCGGTTCGCGCTCATATTTTGTCACAAAGTCCTGGAATTCTTGTCCGCCACGCTGTGAATTCTCAACGTAAACGTAAGTTTCGATCGATAAGCGGCAATAAAGAAAGAAGGAGATTATGCGTAATGTTTTTTGTTTTCTTTTTTTCTCTTGTTTATTTTAGAGCGCGTTCTTCTACGTTAGATCGCGAGGACTCGTGAATTACGCCGCGGCTCTAGGAACATGGAATTCTGCATGTGAATTTTCTTACAATATTCGTGATGACTCGTGCTTCTTTCCTTTCTTTTCTCGCATTGTGACCACAAGACCGTGTGATGTCATTCGTGATGCTTGTTATTCCGTAATTGACTCAACATGATTTGCTAGAAACGATTCTATTCGTCGGAACTGTGTGGTGTGTGTGTGTGTGTATATACGGTAAGAACGACTTTTTCTGTGATGCTTCGGTACGACGTCTTTCGGCCGCAGTTTTATCATTTTGCGATTTTCTTCGCGCAGGATACGGAGCGAAGCGCGGAGCTGTTTGATATTCTGAAATGTCAACACTAGTAGTACATTAGTTAGACAGACGTCACGCTAAATATACTCTCCCGAGGCTGCTTTTATCGCGGTGCTCCCTATGACCATTACAATTTACACGATGTAAATTATTACAAGATTCTCTTTTTGACAGGCTAATTTGGCCGGGAGTTGGGAAAAAGCATTAGATTAGGAAAAATACCACTTAAACATCGGACGATACGAAAGAAACAAGGTGCTTCTCCTTAGTACACCGATCCTTTAGACACGCTAATTTTGTTTTTGGTCTAGATTCTCTCTTCTTACGCTACAAGATAAGTTCTTTATAACTCTACTGAGGGGAATGCGCGTTTTGCAAGGTTTTGTCTCAACCGCGCTTCATCTCCATACGCTTTTGATGTCACACCAGCGGCGCAAACGGGAGATTTTGAATTTCGGTCTTTGTGAACCGTGAAAAAAGAAAAGAACCATCTGACGTCTGTAACAATTTCATTACTTATAGCTACCTACAGCTGACAATGGTCATATTAGCCCTGAGTTAGCTTCAAATTGAGAGCTCGAACCGAAAGCAAGCACCGGTTTCTTTTTCCTTTCGTGCCATCCGATAGCTCTCCGCCTTGTCACACGCATTCCGGATTTAAATGCGACACGATATACACAATCACGCATTCCACTCTCAGCATTCGTTTCGATACTGTCTCATACACTCTTCCTCTTGCTCCTCGCAAACAAGTCCTTATAAATAATTTTTACCGATACAAAGTAATAATAAGTAATAATTTCTAATACAATAACCGATAGTCATAATAATATATAATATTAATGAATAATAATAGTAATAATAAATTAGGAACCACGTACAATATGAAATATGGGAAATTAAATTAGAATACGCTATCAACTCGCTTTTTTTTCGAGGACTATTTATAAATTATAAGATACACGATTTGTATTCGCTTTTTGTAGATGCTTAGGCTACGCTCTTCTTTCTTATTCGAAATTTTCTCTCTCTCTCTCTCTCTCTCTCTTTCTTTCTCTCTTTTCCCTATCGCTACAGTAAATAGAAATTTCTTAGGGACAGTCCGGATAGAGAAAGTCGTTTGTCGTTATCCTTATCGAATGTGTCTCGAAGCGACGAGCGACGGATGAGTGACCGACGCGAAAAAGGGTTGGAACGAAGCGTTTATAGAAGCTTTCCTCTGTTCTCTTCCTTTTTTACTCAAGTATCTACAAATATACAAATTACCGCTGAATCGTCGTCTGTTTTCACTGTTAGATGTGTTTCCTTCTTTTTTTTTTAGCGAATTATATAATTACAAAAATATGTATCTTGGATTTTTGAAGCGCAGTGCGCATCATAATGTGGAACGACATAGGGCGAAAATGTTACGACGCCACGAAAGTCTGTGGTCTTTCTTATCATTTTTTTTTCTTTTTTTGCAATCGGAGTTGTCGACGATTCGGGATTGCTCTTCAACGTAGAATAATTTATTATTTACAACAAGAGAGTTGAGAGACGAAATGACGGAGGCCCAGCCTCGTACAACGCGTGAAGTATCTCCAGATACACATATTGATCCCTATTGATTCTAACGCATTGTTAACATACCACTTTCAATTTTGCATAAACACACAGAAGTGATGGTAATCTCTCTAAAAGCCTGAAAGAATCCGAATAAGGGGAAAAAGAAAATAGGAAATGAAAATACATAGCGAAGTGATTTGTAAACACGTGTTTCGGGAATTATGCATGTGCTTGGAGACATAATTTGAGCCTTTTATCTAAATAAATAAGTTGTGGCGAAATGAGGCAATAACGCGAGTGAGATACAAGTGATTCGGTGACGCACAGCCGAGTTTTCTTTTCTTCTTCGATCTTACAAACGATCGGATAATTCTCTCCGGCACGCGTTGGAATTCATTTATGTCACATATTGGAAAGATACTATGAGCAACGAGCAATTAATTGGTATCAATGTGTCGCGAAAACGACACATATATGCACATACACATGTACATATATATGTACGCATACACGTCATTCGGCAATCAACTCTCTCAAAACGAACGGGACAGGAAAATTCCCGAAAGTTTCTCTCCCGAAGCGAAGCGGATAATGATGCGATTCTCTTTCAACTGGTTCTACCGTGAAGTCAGTGAATCCCCGATTTACGCTCACAATTGTCACACTGCCAATTTGTTACTTTTTTTTTTGTATTTGTTGCAGTCTATTCGTCCTAATGACGCGTTTCGCTTTTGTATCCTTACCGTTCTCGTTTACGCAGCTATGGAAATGAAGTTCCGATTCATTAATAAGTACGTCATTACGTGCCTAAGATCTGGCAGCCGAACGAACGATACTTTTCGTTCACTTCTCCGGAGGATTGGGTATGTGTGTGAATGAGTGTGTAGCGGAGGCAAAAGGGGCAAAAAGTGTGTTCGAGAAAATATCTTGTCGATGCGTAACAGTACAACGCCGGATGGCGATCTGACGTCAATAGATTTTCTAACGATTCGGTAAATAGAGAATTAGCGTCTCTATTAATTCGCAGCGACGAGGGGCGTAACGAGTGCCTCTTGCGCGCGCGCGCGTGTGTGTATGTGTACGTGTGCTAGAGGATTATTTCGTTCTCCGGTAAGAAGACGTCGGATTTATTCTAGATCTAATTTCCTTAGAAACCTCTACGTAAGACACATACGTTGATCGACCTTTTGATACTAGCGGTACGGTCGGTCGCGTTTACTATTCTTAAGATTCTTTGGAAGAGCCCGGTGTGTTGCGTGTGTGAGGATATGACGTGCGAATTGTGACAACGGTAACCGCGCGATGGGTGTCGCGCGCGTCGGACTTGTGCGGCCCAAAGCGGAATTGCGTCGCATACCGTCTCGCCAGGGGCAGTCTGTCGCGTTGCATTACACAGCACGTACCAAGCATCAAAGGCTTCTCACATTGTCTACAATGTCTACGCAATGTGTACACATTGTCTACACGCTTTAGCGTTCTTCGGCTATCAATTTCGCGCTTCACGAGAGGAGGAGGGCTTTTCTTCGTCTCGCTAGCGCGTGTCGGCGTCCTGCGCTCCTATAACACACGCGGTTAGCGATTCGACATCGGACGACGCTCATCGCGAACTTTTCTTTCTTTTTTCCTTCACGCGTTACATAGGAGAGAGAAACAATCGATTTGATCTACTTTTTTTTCGCTTTTTACTTTTTTCCCTTTAATCAGGTGTACCGCAACAACTACGCTTCCTGTTTCTTACGAACGAGAATAGAAAGGCACTACTTTTGCAGCTGATGTGTGTCTGTCTGTCTGTCTCTGTGTGTGTGTGTGTGTTTATTTTCTCTTTCTTCCGTCGATGAATGAGTGAATGACGATGAGACGATACTGACGCTCGCAAGGAAACGACATTCGATGATCGCGAGGAAAAATCTCAATGGAAACGCTTCGTTTCTTTTGTTTTATTTCTTCTTTCACGCGACATTCTTCTCTCGTGCGAGGTTTCCTTTCTCCCCGTTCAGGGCTAATTTCGATTCGTTCGACAAAGAGACGTTGGATACATTACCGAGAGACGCGCGCAACGTCTCTCGCTGGAAGGAATAATAACACACGCGACAATCGACGAGCGTCGAACGTCCCTTCGATGAAACGAGAGGGCGGCAGGGACTCGAGTACGACGATTCTCGGGAATGTTTCGACAGCTCAGCTCTGATAAGTCAACGTCAATGTACGTACTCGTACAAAACAGATACAACATGGTTGGCTCGATGTCGCTTCATTTTTTTCAGCATCGCGTTCAAAGAGGGTCACTCGCCGAATCGAAGAAATCGGACATCTCCAACAAGAGAGTTGGCTGCTGCTACTACTAAAGGCTACTAAAGGCCGCTGCGCTGCGCTATCTCAAGGAACGTCGAGAGCTACCTCGTGTTACGATTCGAGCGACAGCAACGATTACTCGACGACGATGACGACGACCTGGTCGGACTCGTCTCGAGGACGTCGGTTGAACGAGGGTCTCGTGTTCGAGTGTCGGCGGTTTGCCGATTGCGAATCGCCGCGGCGGGACGTTGCAATATGTGGACGGCGGCGCGTGGCGACGTGCTTCGCTATTGGCTCGGGTGCTTGTTTTCGCCGATAGACGCCATCCTCATCGATTCCGCTTCTGGACAATTCCACCCAGGCATTCTAGTCTGCTCTATCGTCGCCTGAGAGCACACACCCCGAACACACGAGATATTATTATTATTATTATTACTATCATCAGTTTAACTGTCATGCCGTCGTAAAAATGGAAATTGGAACGTGAACGTTTTAAACTCCACTCCAATAATGTCAGAACAATCGTTATCTCGATAAACCGAATAACGCAAACTCATCTCATGGTGAATCCTCAATTTCCTTACCGAACTGTTGAGGCTCTTCGCCATGAAGATCGTGAGAGGGCGGCTGCGGTTGCTGAACGGCCTCACCTCCGGATCTCGGCCAGGACCATCCACCGTGTCGATGCAGCTACTGCTATAATGAGAAGAGAAAAATAAAAGAACGGAGAACGTAACGTTCGCGTGTGCGTTGATGAGGTGGCGGCTTATTTAGCGAGCGAACACGTAGATTCTCGATGAATCGGGACCGATGACGTATCGGTCGCGGCGGGCCTTCCTCGAACAGTCAAAGTCGCGATTCACACGCGCCAGCTACGCACATAGGTGCGTACATTATACGCCGGATATGCCGAAATCTATGCCGCGAATGAAATAACAGCGATGATAATAGAACGATCAATTACCTCGACCGCAATTCCTTCTGCTTTCGCTTACAATGGATATAAGCCGTTATACAAATGATAACGACGAGCAATACTGCTATTGTGGCACCGCCGGCGATGCTGGCAGTCTCCAGCATTACTCGCTGCCGCGAAGCTGTAAGAAGAGAAAAAAAGAAACGTCATCTTTATTCGATTCGCGAGAGCATCATTAGCGCTATTATTATCGTTGAATAACACAAAAAGTAGACGCTGTTACCGGACGGTAACACACACTACTTACGTAAATAGGAACCATCCAAATCCTTGAACTCGCATCTCTGCCCGATATATCCATTGGCGCACCTGCGGGACAAAGCACACATCGGTAATTAGCTTAATTAATCGATGTTAAGAAATCTCGCGAGACTTCGCCGGAATTCGCGAATATAACCGGATGTTATAAAGGGAGATTCGACGATTGCTTTCTTTCTTCTTTCCTCTCTTTCTCTTTCGGTCTCCTCCCTTTCTCGGTTTCGCATATCGCGCGCTCTGTATTAATCAGATAGAATCGCCTGTGTCAAAAGTGTCCAATTAGTAAGTGCCCAATTAAGCTTAATTATCGGGGAAAAATTTCAGAGAATCAACAGCTGACTAAATTTGGCAGATTGCGGCTTTACAGCGCGTGTGATTACGCGATAATTGAGAGAATTCTCAGAACAATTAGCGGTACCTGAAATTAACAGGAAGACAACACGCGCGCGCGCGAGAGAGTATCGTCGGCGTTTCCTCCGTGCGCAATCATCGATTGTCGAATGCGAGAGTTGTTTTAGCTGTCGCTCTGTTACGCTATTTACTGCGTGACTTTCTAGCTGAACTGCCGTTTCTACACACGTGGATATACCAGATCTCCCATCGCCTTTCAACAAACACATGGACGGAGGATGGCATTGCGCGACCAGTCGCGTTTCTTTCCGCTTTTGCGTTCTACGTTCTCGGATTCTATCTATCGGCTCGATCGACTTCCTCTCGGCGCGCGTTTCTCCGACGTTCGGCTCTCTCGATCGCGCGGTTCGCGAGTTTTTACGTGTTAGCGCGCGTGAGAAGCATAATCCTTATCGCTAATATAGTTTCTTTTGGTCTCACTCTTGACGTCATAGATCATAGATTTGCCCCGATATTAATCGTAACGCGAATGGATCTGTAATTCTAGCGAGCGAGCATGCGATTTTAATTAGCCTCTCTCGTTTGCGGTTGCATTCGGTTAAATATCTTTAACCCCTTGCCGTGCGCCATTTAACTCGACGAAATCCGGGCCCAACCGGATAGGAGACGACGCGCGCGCAAAACGGGCCAGAGTGATGCGTGGGAACAGTTGCAATACGAGCCGAAATGCGGATATGTGTGCTTCACACGATACAGCTCTTGTGGACGTCAAAACTATCAATAATTTAATTCTTTTTTCTTCTTTATATATATATATATTTTGTATACAATATACTAAAGCAAACAACACATGAACAAATAATACTTTAAAATATAAATAATAATATTGTAATTTACTACAGTTACTAATACAATTATATGGACGATTGACCCGTGTATGATTAAACGACACATAAAGCTTTTATGACAATTTTAAACTATTTAAACAACTATTTTAAACAACAAAGACGCTACCCAAGCCAAGAACAGTATATATGGCCCGATCTTCATTCCACAAGTCAGACTCGTGATGTTCACGTTTGGCCCGATCATCATTCCACGAGTCTGATATCCACGAGTCTCGTGATATTCATGTTCATGTCCAAAATTGTTATCACGAGTCAGCTTCGTCAAAGTGCGGCAAGGGGTTAAGCGTGCAGCGGATAAGTGTGTACGCTTAAATGTCTTTCTTTATAAACGCAGAGCTTCTCGCCGAGGTTCTTGCTATAAGTTATACGCTTGACTTTGTGATTTCAACGATTGTGCATGAGACAATTCGACACGTGAAAACACGGTTCTCCAGGCGTACCGTTAAGTCACACACGTGGAATAATAGCGGTTTATCCAACCGTCTCGTTGGGGAAAAGAAAAAATGAAAACGTCGGATCGCTCGCGTCTACCACTTTCCACTTTGGTACATTTTCTCCGTACGTCTCTCGTGCGCGCGAGGTCTTCTCTTTACCTGATTATCTAATCCGAACGTGATTATGAGAGCGCGAAAAATGGAAAAGTAGAACGTATGCACGTTGCCTGTGCGTCTTTCTTCCCTCTTCTCTTTCCCGCTCGTTTTTCAGGAGACAAGAGCTGACGCTCATCTCTCTCGATTTACCGCTCTCGCTCAAATTAGTTTTATTCACTTTACATTCGTGACATTTTTATCAGTTTTGACCTCTTCTGATGTCAGTTTCAATTTCTTAATTTCGATACGAAGCAATTTTCCAAAATTTCCTTTCGCACTCGATTTTTCAACTTTGCAATTCAATTTTATCCAACATTTCGTGTGAAAGTACTGTAAATGTTGTCGTCGCGTTATTCAGTGTCGTTTTGTTGGACGTTCCTGATTATTCATCGACCCAGGCGTTTCCGGTTTACGGGGTTGTCTTCGCGAACATTTTTCACACCTTATCGTTAAATTGCATTCAGCGGTGTCCGCTACTTCAACTTTCGCGATAAAGCGCGCGCGACCGTTAGATTAATTTAAGTTGGCCGCGGCGAACTGAAGACGATGGGACGACTCGATCCAAGCGGCAGATCGCGGTCGACAAAGCAAACACCGTGGGAAATGGTAAGGTTGAGCGAGCACGATGCGCGCACCGCTCCTCGATGTTATTCCGATGTTAATCCGATTAGTTGATAGACCCTTTTTTTCCCCTTTCACAGTGCTCGGATTTTAGAATATATTTTCGACATCGAGAGCAAGGAAAAGGGAAAAAGAGAGCTAACATAAATATGTCCGATTGCTATTTGTGTATCAAACCTTATGCGATTGTTGAAAACTTTGACATAATGGCTATTGATAAGATGTTAAAACTTTAAAACTATCTGAATTTTCAAACTGAATAAAAACGAGATAAAGATTCAGAGAAATTACATTGTATTGTATTGCATTGTATTAACAACGTCAATCGCGCGATAGAAATAAATTGTTAGCATCGCCTCGAAGCTGCGTTAAAGTATCTCAACTTGAACATTTCCCGCCCACAAAGTTGCTCCACTAAGGAACTGTCGCCAACGATCCACGACCGCACACTTCTGTACTTCTGCTTTTCAGCGTCGAAGACATCTCGGGAGAGTGATAGCCATTGGAAACCTCACTCGAAAATTTATGACGTTTAAATAAAAGAAAGGACCAAATAAAACCTGCACGCGACGGGGAGGAGAAAGAGGTGCGAGGGGACATGGGGTAGCAGCTCCGCGGAGAGTTCGCGTCCTGACACGGTCGTGCAGGAGAACGTCGACGTACGTGCCGAGGTCGCATAGTTGAAGATTAACAGGGAAGCGACATGGACAGACACAAACGACGGGGGTCTCCGCGCCTGTCTCCCTAAAGTGATTTTTTCGCTTAGAACCGCCGCGCGCGATTGTTCGCGTGGTAGCGTCGCACATTCCGTACCCGTCCATCGAAAACGAGCCTATAATTCCTTTTCCGTACGCGTCCTGGAATATATTGACATATTCAAAGACCCCCACAGCTCCGCTGCCGCTGCCGCCGCCATCGTCGCGGCGGCCTGCAGGAATTTTCGCTACGAAAAATTCTACACAGGTGAACATTTCACGGGCGGCAGGACGAACGCGAACGGACGAGGGAAAAACCGGCCGACCGGCCAATCCAAGACGTGTGTAGCTCGAACAAAGGAGAACTCGTTACTTACAAACAGTTATACAGGAGGGAGTCGACAATTTTAACGGTGAAGCACGTGGCGCCGTTTAAGCAATACCACTCTGCGTAATCCGGTGGACATGTGTACATGTGGAATGTGATGTTCGGTCGATCCGTCGGCGTCGGCGGCCTCGGTTTCGGCGTCGAGCGCGACGAGCAGGCATCTGTTGGTGAAACGCAACAATTAATTAAGGCGTGCGTAATGCACACGTGTGTAAGTCATCGGCGAAAAGATTACATCGCTTTTCTCTTTCTCTCGACGGCTGTCGCAACGCGAACAGGAAAACTCGTCGTCTTGCTCGTTTTTCCTAGTCGTTCTCGGAAGATAAGTTTTCCCACTGCACACTGGACGCGTTCTCAAGTTTGTCAAGATAAAAGCGTTTCGCAATGCTCTCGCCGCCGTTCACCATAATCGGTTTGGCGGTGATTGCCTTGCTTGGAAATTAAATAGCGTTAAATTAACGTTCGAACGATCTATTGGCCAGACAGCGGTCCGTGAGTTCGCTTCGATCCTACGCTTTCTCCGAAAGCAAACCTTCTACGACAACAATAGTCGAATTTGTGTGCGTGTGACTGAAGAATTAAATATAAACTTATCGACCGGACTAAGAAAAAGACATTTCACGAAAGAGAAGCCCGATAGTTTCACGCTTCACCGTCGCAGAAATATTTACAAAAGTACAATTCACTTCAAACGCCGTCCGCTTATGATACACCCCGGGGTTTGCGCTCTCAACTAAAATCTCTATTGTTTCCGCACTTGCGGGCCGCCCCACCTGAGCGTAGATAATAATGTTTTATCTCTCGGTGTGCGACGAGAATGAGCAAACGAAAACGAGCGCTCTAGAAATCTTGTCGGCTTTTCCAAGCTCGTCGAGCACAATGGATCGCCGTGTACGACGCTTCTCCGTCTCTTTTTCCCCTATCTCCCCCACCCTCTCTCTCTCTCTCTCTCTCTTGCACCTCTCCATTCACACCCTCGCCTTTTATCCGAACAGCCACGCGGCCATCCCACCCCGCACATCGGGGCAGGGACGAGAGGCCGCGCGCGTGCATCTCGCAGGCGCGAGACTGTACACAAAGCTGCAAAGTACGGCGCGCCGTTGCATCTGTCTCTCCCGCGCGTGGCTGCTGTCTGTCACCTGTTGTAATTTTACAATCTGCCGTTTCCAGACACTCTCCGCCAAGCACACTGACAAGCTCACCCTCGTGTGCTTTTGAATCTGCCGCGCGCGCGCGCGCGAGAGAGTAGGCGGTATAATTTCACCTCTCCTTCTCTCGCCGCGCGCGACTTCCTCACTTTCACCCCGCGGACGCGGGCGCGGGCGCGCGCGCGCCTTTCGATCTCCTGTCATTCTCGTTAATTAACCTCCCGCACTCGAAGCAATTTTTCTCTCTATAAATACACCGACAACTCGACGGTGCATTCATTCGGCTCGTCCTCCGTGTCGCTCCGCGTCGCCAGTTTCAAAGCGATTTGACACTCGGCGCGAGGCGCCACCGTTCACAAGCCGCGAGTGCCAAGGGTCAACAGGGGTCAAAAGTCTCGAGGGTTGATAAGAGTCGAGGACCTGTCGCGCGAGATTCGTCAGTTGTAGCACGTCGTTGTCTCACGTCGCGCCTTTCATGCGTTATCTCGGCCGATAGCCGAACAACGGCAGATAAAGATGTGTGTATGTGTGTGTGTGGGGATAAACGTGGTTGTGCGGAGAAGAGTGGCAAATTTGTGACGGCGAAGCGCGAGAGGTAGCGCCGGGGCGTCTTTGTAAATTGCAGCGCGATATGCGACGGACACGGGGAAACGGATAACGACGCTTTCTTTCCGCACGTCGATTATCTCTCGACGGTTTACTCGCGTAGACCAGGTGCGGCGTGACGCGCGAGTATTGTTATATTATACACACGTTTATACGTCGCGCCGTCGCCGTCGTCGTCGTCGTCGTCGTCGTCATCGTCGTCATCCGGCATAAGTCGCATATAAAATAAACGCTTTGTCGCGGGGGCGCGCGCGCGCGCGCGACGGCTTCTCGCTCGACACGAAAGCATTTTGTACGGCCGCGGCGCCTTTGTTCGGCCGAGCGATTCAATTCGGACGGGCGTGGTGGAGGTACGAGAAACGACAGATTGTAAGATTGTAGCGCAATAAGCGTAATAAGTACGGTAAAAGGTGACACACGCGGCGACTACGGGAGCGATTCCGCTTTGCGAGGCGGCGCAAGGCGAAGTAATAATTTGTCGTTCTTCCTCTCCTCTTTTTAAGTACACGCTACCTTCGCGGGCGACTCACTCGTTTGTGCGTTGCCTCGCTCGTTCTCGCTCACTCAGCGGAACAAAATTCGACCGATGGGCGTATTCCCGTCGAGCTCTTTACCGTTGCTCGCGATACAACGAAAATATTAAGCAAACACGAGAAAGACCGAAGCGCCGGATGAGTACGCGGTGAGTAAAGTCGCGATCACAGCAACGAAGCGTCGTCGTTCATCAACGGACATCTCGGGTCTCCCACTTGGATTCTCTTGGGCTTCTGACTGTGCGCAGAGAGCAGGTGAACTTTTTACAGATGAAGAACGACACACGGAAAAACATACTCACTTGGTCGAGTGAGGGTCGCGCGATCGGCGAGGGTACTCGAGAGAGGAGACTCGGAGTACGCCAAGCGCGCTCGTCTGATTCTCAAGCTGGAATAACGTCGCACACGCGAGCGTCGTACAAGAGAAACAGGGCTTGGAGTCAGACGGACGCACTTGGCGCTGAAGACGTCGTAATAATATAGCGGGATGTCTTCGCGTCAGCCTCTCTCGAAGTGAGATGGCCCGCCGCGATCTGCGCTATATATAATATACCAACCTGCGATACCGATGAGAGTGTAGGAGAGAATTAATATCGTCGCGAGGTAGGGTGGAATTTTGCATCCTCTCGCCATGGCAGTGACGACAGAGGGGTTAGCGATGGTAGTGCTGGCGGTAGCGGTGCTTCTGGCGGCGGTGGCGGTCCGCACGAGAGGATGGACGGTCGTCGTCGTCGTCGTTGTCGTTGTCGTTATCGTCGTCGACGATGACGACAACGATGACGATGACGTGGTCTCGGCACCGCGGACCTCGACGTTCTCGACATCGAGCCGAGCGTTGACGTCGCTCGACCTGCTGGACCGTCGATCGTAGAACCGCTGGTGCAGACGCGAGTGGAAGCACTCGAGGCACGTGCCCTCGTCGTTATCGTCGTCCTCGTCGTCGTCGTCGTCGTCGTCGTTATCTCCGTCCTCCCTCCTGTCGTCGCCGTCGTCATTGCTGTTGTCGTCTTCGTCGTCGATGTCGGTCCGACGGTGGTATCGCCGACACGACTGTCGGCGATTGTGGCGATGAAGGAGGTGGTGTAGGTGAGGTGGCGAGGAGTGATAGTGGCGCTTGTTGCTGATACCGCTGTCGTCGCAGCAGAATTTGCTCCTCGCCACCGGCGAGCTGATCTCCTCGACTTCTACTCCTCCCACCTCGTGTCCTCTGTCGTTAGCCTCTCTTCCTCCTGCCGCCGCCGCTGCTACTGCTGCTGCTGCTCCTGCTGCTGTCGCTCCTCCTGCTCCTCCGCCTTGCGTCTCCTCGACAGCACGAGCTCCAGCACCTGGGCCGAAACTCCGGCGCACGTGCCGCCGCTTCCCTGAAACCAGATACCCGTCCGGGCGGCCGTTTATAGTGTGTTTTATCTCGGGTGAAGACTTTGGGATCTAGCGCGAAGCACCGGGCCCCCGCGCGCAGCAGGCCGCAGCAGGCAGGCCGCAGCAGGATGGAACGGCTGCTGTGTATGTGCCGTGCCGTAGGAGGGCCCGGATTCAATTTTCAACGTAGAACGCGCTGAGCCCTCAGCGCCAGTTCTGCCCTTACGAGGGCGACGTCTCTCTCCCCCCTCTCCCCTCTCTCTCATTGCTCTATCGTTGCTGATTACCGCGAGCGTCGAGCGGGAAAGAGAGAGAGAGAGAGAGAGAGACTCTGGACGCAACGTTAATCGTGAATTGTCAGGATCGCGAGCGGAGGAGGATCGTCCGGACGATCGCGAGACGAGACGACACGTGTGCCGATAATTGAATAAAACCCCGCGTATGTGCGACCTTTGCACGGCGGCGTGATGTAATCACAGGCGGTGTCGTTTTTCAAAGTCTATTAACGACCTCGTTCCGCCGATAGACACGTAATAACGTGTCTCTCTCCGACGTGTCGCGACGACCGTGCGCGCGCGTACAATGCGGCGAATAAATCGATCTTTTCGCTCGGCTGAGGAAATCGCGGAAAACCGAGGGGCAGAGAGAGAGAGAGAGAGAGAGGAGGGGGAAAAAACGCGAGAGAACGATCGCGAAAACGCGTACGTATCAGCGATTCCGTCAACGTTATTATCGGCTGCTTAATCGGCCGCGATTATCATCGTCGCGCCTTCTTCTCGTCTCTCCGGGGATGCTTATCGCGCTTCCATCGTGATTCATCCTGACTTTAATTTACGATACGTAACGTGCAAACAGCGGATACACCTTGCGCGCGACGTGTCTCCATCGGGATAAAAAGTATCGGCGCGATTTCCACGACAGAGTCGCGGCTGTTACGGCGAGCGCGAGCGAGCGACCGGCCGCGTCAAGTCGTGACGTCAATTGCCGTTCAAATATTCAACCGCGACTAGTCACCGTATCGTGTAGCGATCGACACTTTTCATGTCCGCCCGTCGAGGCTCAATGCCAGATCGAGAGCGATCGCGAGAATGACACACGAGTGGCGTCCCGCGACCGACGTCGCCGTGATCACGTTATAATTGAATCAACGTGAGAAAGACATTCACGCGCGGCGTGTGTCTCTCACCCCCCCCTCTCCCGCCTTGCCTATCGCCAAGGCATTTCTTCTTGCCGATAGCACACACCATGTGTGGTACCTCTCGAGTACTGCAGCGCTTCGCACCGCTCGAGGCCGTGCCTACGTGCCCGTGTCTACGATGATTAATTAGCCGGCAAAATCGGGGAGAGACGGAAGAAAAAGCGCTTCCTGAAAATTGCGACTTGCACTGTCACGCCGCCGCGTTGCGATAGCGACGGTCGCGTTTTTCCGCAGAATTCCGAGTGATTTAGTCAGCGTTCGGCGACTCGGACGACGCGATTGATGTGTGCTTTTCGTATTAGCAGAACTGATAAGCCCACATCCGCGTTGATTTGCTGATACCAAAGTAGGCGCACACCTTTCGGGTACACTAGTCGTTAATCATTTATTAAAGCACACGTCACGCGATATATTTTAAGACTCGTACAACACGCGATTACTCACGTCTCCAAGACCATAAACATGTTTAAAAATAATGGAAAAGCATAGCAGACAAAGTGCACGCACTGGTAGATAAACAGATATTTTTGCTCGCCAAAATTTTCTAAACAATTACGTATATATACACTGAGAAAAAATTGTATTAAAATTAAACAAATATTATATGTATAAAATTATACAAATATTCGTTCGAATACGACTGTGAATATCATTTATTAAAATTAAGCGACTAATTTCTAAAATGAAATACAGAGGTTCTCTCTGAATGTAAATTTTTATTTTGAATCTTAGAAAATAATTGCTTAATTTAAATAAATGTATTCGCAGTCGTATTTGAACAAATGTTTGTTTAATTTTAATACAATTTTGTCTCAGTGTATATTACATAAAATCTTCCGAAGACGATTATTGAACGAAAAGTCAGCTGAAATGCGCTTGGCGACGGATATGTGAAGCCGATCGCGGTGTCTCTTCATCTTCGGTTTTGCCCGTGCAATCCAGCGAGATCTTGAGAGATAAAGATCTGAGTAACACGTCCTCGCGTATATACGGGGAAATACGCGCTTTACGTCATACGTCCGACGTCTTCCTCCCGCAATTCACGATCGGAGGAAGTAGGTGAGACGTTGTCCTAGCCAGCAGAGAGCGGGCTTTAAGTACGACCCACGTGCGTTCCTTCTAATAATTGGCCATTTCCCTGTTGTAGACGTGCGCGTTACACATCCCGAGCGCTCTTCGTCGCTTCAGTCCGCCACGGCGGAGCATAATTCACCACTCGAATCGCGCGAGCCGCCTTAAATTTAGGCTATTTTCTAATTGCACGCTTCTCAGCGCAACGTCCGCTTGTCGAGCGCTAACAAGCGCGGAATCTTTGTCGTGTCCCATTGTTGTATCAAAAAGGATGGCAGAAGGACGCTGAAGGTTTTCGGCGACCGCAGCACCAGACAGAGACTCCCGACAATCGATTTAAGATTCACGCTTCTTGTCCTCCGCCGTTAACTGCTTCTACGTGCTCGGAATATCGATAAGGAAGCTTTTGGAGTAGTTTCCGACGAGATCGATCATTACGGACGACAAAGGTCTCGTCCGGCTCTCGTGGGGATCCGCATTGTCTTCGATTTAGCAGCGCTCGATGGGCGGTTACAGGGATCGCGTGGCAAAAATTTTCAACGGTCCGAGGATGGACAGTGCCGTTGTTGTATATCGTCGGCGCGAGAGGACTGCATGGCGGCCCTTAAGGACATTATATGCATGCGAGAAATCTTGGGCGTGCCTAGTCACGTGTCCTTTGAAAGCTGCAGTTACCGACCAACGAGGAAGAGAGCACGGGGAGAGGGAGAGGAAATTTTCCGGATAGGAAGGGTCCCGAATACCAGCGAGACCGGTCCGGTACCAGCTGCGGCTCGTCTAAACACGGAAATTCATAAATTCGAATATGTTACGTGGACGTGAGAGGCAGAGAAAAAGAAGGAAGGACCTCCCTCCTTCCCTCTCTCTCTCTCTCTCCCTCCCCTCGTTCGTCGCGCTGCACAACGCACAGCGCTCGCGATCCTAGCGAGATGTCCTCGGCGGCGGCCCTTGACACGGCTCTCCTCTTCGAATCGATTCGAAAAATCGAGCCACACGATCGAACCGATGACGAGCGGGTGGGTGTAAGCCAACCAAGTATCACGATCTTCAAGGTGGAAGGCAGCGACGAGCACGCGCAGCCGGTTGTTCCCTGCCAGGTGGCCGATGGATCTGGGCTTCTAACGATACCATCGACAGAAATCGCCAGGTCGGAAATCGTCTATAATCATCATGCGCTTATTATCCCGCTTCTCACGCCGCGCTAACGCTAATCTGCATTTCGACCGATCGATCTTCGAGTCTCCGGTGTCGTTCAGCGAGAACGGCGCCGGACAACCGCGTTCTGCCAAACGCGCGCCGCCGAAGAGAGAGAGAGAGAGAGAGAGAGAGAGAGAGACATCCTCGCGAATCAAGATCCGTCATTCCCGGAGGAAACGGTGTTTATTCCCATCGCTTTCGTTCGGCCCAGCGAGCTTCCTCTCGAGGAAACGAATTATTGCTCGCCACTTCGCTCGCATGTTTTTCCCATCGTTTTTTTGTGACTGTGTTATGTATATACAGCTCTCAATATGTTAATTCACCAGATCCTCCCGCGATATGCGCCTTTAAAGGGCTCGCCCTACGACTGCAATGAATGTCTCTCTTCCTCTTTCGTTCTCGCTCTCTCTCTCTCTCTCTCTCTCCCTCTTTCTCATCGTCTCTATCTCGAGGTAATCGAGACGTATCGAGAGGAGTGGAAGGGTCGAACGAGGCGGCAGTGGCGATCGATGGTACGGATAAAAAAGCGACACGCTCTCGATAATATAATGCCGGACTAGAGCAGGACGTATCTTTTCCACTCGATAGAGCTCGGGGCACGTTCGTATATAGGCGGGGCCAGCGGGTCTAAAGAAGACGGACGGGATCACACATGTCCACCTCGTCCACCTCGGGTATTCATGTCGGTATTCATAGCGAGCAGCTGCCGAATGCACTTCAACGCCATTACCTGCTTTTCGCAACGCTCGCGACTCAACGACCGAGCGTGTCCTGAGCCCCGGCCCTTGCCTGGCCCTGCCCTGGCACGCGCCCGCTTCTTCTACCATCTTCCGCGCGCCTCTCGCCATCGCCGTCGCCGCGTCCTTCGCCTCCTGCGTATCATGTTGCGACGCGATCGTTTAATTAACGTAACGTAGGAGAATGATGATCTGCCTATCTCTCCCTCTCTTTCTTTTTATCGTCATCCTTCGTTTCCCCTGCTTGAGACCGGCTCGACCATTTTTCGTCTAATTTCGCGTTGTTCTCGCTCGGCTCGATGCCGAAATCGTCGTTGAGAGGCGTACCGCGTACGCTGCAGCAGGTATCGCAATGCGAACATGAACACACGAACGCAAATACGGCCGCAGTCGCGTGGAATGCACGATTTCCTTTTGCGAGGCGAGCACGTACGTTGTCGCGTAGCACAACGGTCGCTTTTAATGGCAGATCACCTAGGAAAGCCGTTTTTCTCCCGATGGAATGCCGCGTTTCTGGGCCGCTCATCGCGCGGACAGAATTGTCGCTGGGCGAGAATGAACATTTCAAGCGGCGAGATCGACGACTCGGTTAGCTCTCGTCCGATCTCGCCGCCCAGTCGCGTTTACCGATAACGGGATGAGGAGCTAATCCGAAAACATTCGTTCGCGACGATAAATTGTGCTCTTTCATCAAGCGGAGTCACACCTTTCGCGCGAACGACGCGCCAATTTCGAATACTCGAGAAGCTCGCGGATTGTTGCGCAAGGTGGGCCTCTCTTCGGCTCGTCGTGACGGCGA